TTAGGAAACCAAAACATGGTTGTACTTTGTACTTAAGACTTTTACTTTCAAAAGGCTACTGGAAATTTTATTCCTATTTTTTGCCAACCACAATTTTTGGGCCAGAGTAAAATAAATTTAATTATTTACATCTAAAATTGAAAATTTAAGTAGTAATTAAAAAATAAAATTTAACGATTGTTTTCTGACCCTGACTCTTTTAATTTACTAAAAGTTTCAATTAATAAAGTAATCAATTTATTTATAGGTAATTTATTATTTAAAATTTATTTCCAAGCATTAAAAATATTCACATTTGTTAGATAAAATGGTTAAAATTCATTTGTGTGCAAACCAGAATCGATACTTAATGTTAATACCCATTCGAAATTTATTTTTCCACGTTTTATGGAGGCTATTAAAAGTTTGGCTCGCAAGCCCCTAAATGTAAGCATAAAAAAGTGTTAACTGTTTTTAAGATACGCCGAAGATTTATGGAAGAAGTACCACTTGACTACTGTGTATGGTAGTTGTAAAAGGACATTTAAAACAATTATAAGCGCTCGTAAAATTTTTCACCTGTATTAATTTTGCAATCATATAAGTCAATGTAGCAAAGTGTTGCTTCAGGCCAATTTCAAGCGTGCATCGCGATGGCAAATGCTGCATTCGCATGAACTTTCCATGTTCCATGAGCATGAGCCTTGCATAAATTTGTGATCTTACCTGTTACCTCTTTTTTGATCTTCTCCAGGCTCTGGTGATCACGACGTTGGCGTTGGCCCAGTCAGCGAAGCTGGATAACAAATACCTGCCGCCACCGGCAAGTGCGGCCAGTGCGGGCGGCAGTCCGGGAGCGGGACTCCAGGGACCAGGAGGTGGTTTCGGAGGAGGAGGTGGACCAGGTGGAGGAGGTGGCTTCGGAGGAGGAGGTGGTGGTAGACCAGGTGGTGGAGGTGGCTTCGGAGGAGGAGGAGGTGCCCCTGGAGGAGGAGGCTTCGGAGGAGGTGGCGCAGGAGGCGGAGGAGGCGGAGGCTTCGGTGGAGGAGGAGGAGCTGGTGGCTTCGGGGGTGGTAACAACGGCTTGGGTGGCTTTGCAAATGGTCGACCCATCGCACCTGGCGCTAGTGCCCCCGCTCCACGTCCCAGTCAGCCAGGTGGTGGTGCTCCTCCTGCCTCTGGACCACCCATTCCCATCCTCTCATTTGTCAACGAGAACGACGGCGATGGCAACTATCGTTTTAGCTACGAGACCGGAAATGGTATTAAGGCACAGGAGGAGGGCACCGTGAAGAACAAGGGATCGCCCAATGAAATCCCCTCCGTAATGGGCTCCTACTCCTATACAAATCCCGAGGGTGAGCTGGTCGAGATCATGTACACGGCGGATGAGAATGGCTTTGTGCCGTCGGGCAATGCTCTGCCCACTCCGCCGCCCATTCCAGAGGCAATAGCCAAGTCATTGGCTGCCCAGGGAATCTCTGTGCTGCCAGGTGGCGGTTATAGTGGAGGACCAGGAGGTCATGGTGAGTCGTTACACTGATAAAAAGATGAAAAGTGTCTTAATGAATTATTAATTCCTATGTCCAGGTGCTGGTGGCGGCGGAGGCGGTGGCTCTGGGTATGGTGGCGGTTCAGGATTTGGAGGAGGAGCTGGTGGAGGAGCTGGAGGAGGAGGAGCAGGAGGAGCAGGAGGAGCAGGAGGAGGCGCCGGTTATGGAGGCGGAGCAGGACGAGGCGGTGCTCCTGGAGGTCCCGGTAAGTTAAGCTACAAAAAAAAACTTTAAGTCAGTAGTGAAAAACAATCAACTATATATTTTGCAGGCGCGCCAGGTGGAGGTGGTTTTGGAGGTCAAGGTTAGTGCTCTTCCCATATTACATACTTTGGATTTTAAAAATATGTTATTTAGGAGGAGGTGGCGGCGGTTACGGAGGTGCAGGTGGCGGAGCAGGTCGCGGCGGCTCTCCAGGTGGACCAGGTGAGTAAATTATTCAGACGTAGATGACCTTTCTTAATCAAACTGTTATAAAGAAATTAACAAAAAATGTAGTGCTATCTCTTTTGTCATTATTGTTGTCAAAATATTTTTTTAAATCCTTAAAAATGCATTTTTTAATCGGTAATCGGTATCCAGAAAGAGTATTTCTTTTAGAAATTCCTAAACACCTGTATTTTTCAAGGACATTTCATATACTACCCATTTCAGGCTCATAAGAATTAAATTAATGAAATCTTATTTTTTGTAACTAAACAATTTTTAATTTTTAGGAGCTCCCGGTGGCGGAGGATTTGGCGGTCAAGGAGGAGCAGGCGGTGGATATGGAGGAGGTGGCGGCGGCGGCCGCGGTGGTGGCGGTGGAGGTGGAGCACCGGGAGCACCAGGTAAGTTATAGACATTTATTTAAATGTATTTATTTGGATTAAAAACGTTAAAAACGTATTTTTTAGGAGGTGGTGGCGGATATGGAGGTGGAGGAGCAGGTGGCGGAGCAGGTAGAGGTGGCTCTCCAGGAGGACCAGGTGAGTTGATCAGTTTTCATGATTTATTACCTGTATATAATATTATTCGTTCACAATATTATTCGTTCAATAAAAAATTGTGTTTTTAGAAAACTCAAGACTCACCCATTTGAAGTATTTAATAAAAAATGTTATATTTTAGGAGCGCCTGGTGGAGGAGGATTTGGTGGCGGAGGAGGAGCTGGTGGCGGATATGGAGGCGGCGGCGGTCACGGTGGTGGTGGAGGACCAGGAGGACCAGGAGGTCCAGGTGAGTAAATATTTATTTATAAACGACAATTTAAAATGATTTTTAAAATCAACTAATTTTTTTTAGGAGGTGGTGGCGGCTATGGAGGCGCAGGCGCAGGTGGCGGAGCAGGCAGACCAGGTGGACTAGGTGAGTAAATAATTTACTTTCATAGGAATATATTTAGTTTTTTTTAGATTTTTTTTTACTTTACTTTAAATAGTCTAATAGTCTGTTCAAAATATATAAAGAATTCATATTATTTTGTGGGAGAATGCTTCGACCAACCAACACAAAAAATATTTATTTTATTTATATTTCCTAATTGTAATCATCTATGAGGTTTCCTATTTTTAATTATGTAGGTATAACTTTTATATTAAATACAATATATTTTTTAGGAGCTCCGGGTGGAGGAGGATTTGGTGGTCAAGGAGGAGGAGGAGGAGCTGGTGGCGGATATGGAGGAGGCGGTGGTCGTGGGGGCGGTGGAGCTCCAGGAGCTCCAGGTGAGTTCATTAGCAATTTTATTGTGGAACCCATAAACTGAGAAAAATCCAATTTCTTTAATTGCAGGATCTCCCGGTGGAGGAGGATTTGGAGGTCAAGGTAAGATATTTTGCCACATTTCACAGCTCGGACTTTACAAACAAAATTTTTTTAGGAGGTGCTGGTGGAGCAGGAGGCGGCCCCGGTCGCGGTGGTGCTCCAGGAGCTCCAGGAGGTGGTGGATTTGGAGGTCAAGGTAAGTGATCTTATTAAATTATATATTTTGAATTTTAAAAGTCTTTATTTTTAGGAGGTGGTGGCGGATTTGGTGGCGGCGGCGGTCGTGGCGGAGCACCAGGTGGCCCGGGTAAGCAATTGATCGATACATTTAATTTAAAGCTGATTAAACCAACATATTTTGTTAAAAAATTGTATTCACATACTTAACACAATTGTACAAATATTTCTTGCTTAATTGAATTGATTGTATTTTCATTTTTAGGATCTCCCGGAGGAGGCGGTTATGGCGGCGGTGCTGGTGGCGGAGGTAAAAAAGTTTAATCGACTTCATTTAGGAATATTTGTGTATCCTTGGTTTTGGGTCTGTTGCGGATGTAAAAGTTTTAACAGTGCCATTAACATTAACCCTATGCGATATTCCTGGGAAAATGTCATGCAGACCTGTCTTCAAAAAGTCTGTACCTAGGCTTCATAAGAGAAGAGTTTTTCCCACACATTTCAAGTTTGTTTAACAATCATTTTTTTACATACCCTTTGTCTACAGTTTTACCCACGATCTACTAACGACCTATCATAAATTATGCATTTTGACTTTTAAAGCGGTCCCTTTTATGTTCCTAGAGTCACTAGGTAATAATGCTTTTAATAGGTTTATGGTAGCTAGACAAAGAAGAAATTAAATAAAATTAGGGTAATTTCAATACCTTAATTAAACCAACATCTAAGATACTACCAGTATTTATACACTTTTCATACTAAATCTTAAAGCTGAGGATGTTTAAATGTAGTTAGTAATATTTTAGAAATATCATAAAGCTTCCAATTTTTATGAACTACTATTTGTAGTATTTCCTACTTTTTATCAAATAAATTATTTATTTTTGTATTTCCAGGAGGCGCCGGAGGAGCTCCAGGACGCCCAGGTGCTCCAGGATTGCCCGGCGGCAATCAATATGTTCCACCTCCAGCCGGTGGCGGTGCACCAGGTTCGCCTGGCAGACCGGGATCAGGACCTCCCGGCACAGGATCCCAATACATTCCACCTCCCCCAGGAGCGCCGGGCGGAGGTCGCGGAAATGGAGAGTTCAATCCTCAGACAGGCTATAGCTACTAATCCCAGAACAAACAATTCCCAAAACGCCAATCAAATCTCTCAAATCGAAGAAATGTCTTTGCAATGCAAGCTGCCCTAAATGTTCTTTCACTCAAATGGTTAATTTATTTATGTAAGCTTCCCCCTTTTTTCTTTTTTGTGACAATGTGTGTGTGCAACTATCGAAATAAATGAATCTTGAATACTTGAAATCACTTGTTTACCATGTTTAGTTACTTTTATAATTTTACTTTGTATTTGTATACGAGATGAATGTATTTCATGCCAAAATAAATTCCAAAATGCCAATCAAATTGCTAAAATCAGGGAAATGTGCTTGCAATGAACCTTGAAAACCAGAAATCCCTATTTTACAATTGGTAGCCCGGAGAAACCCATTAAAAACAAGGTTGTTTGACTTTTCAGATGCATGTATTTCACGCCTTTGAGTTGCGACTACATATTTGGTCTAACTAATCGTTTTAATTATGTTATATCGTTGTATTATTTCTTTGGGGACTTCTTGAAGCGTCTGCCATACTGGTTGTAGCCATAGTTATCCACCAAATTGTTGGGTCTGCCTCTTAATTGTTGGGTGATTAGGGCCTGTTGCTGCTGCTCATTTTGCTGCTCCTTCTGCTGTTGCTGTTGCTGCTGTTGTTGCTGCTGCTGTTGCTGGTTGAGATTCTGTTGCTGTTGAGCCTGCTGCGCCGTGAGATTGCTGCCAAAAGATTGCTGGCCAAATTGTCCGGCATACTGGCCGGGCAAATTGCCGGAATGCAACTGATTGAACGGCTGATCCGGCTGATATTGGCCGGAATTCGGCTGCTGTTGCTGCTGGAAATTGCGTTGTTGTTGCAACTGTTGCTGCTGCTGCTGTTGTTGCTGTTGCAGCGGGGTCAAGGGCTGTTGTCCTGGTATCTGTGGTCGGAAGGGGGCATTGGGCAGCGGTGGCGGCAGTTGACGGAAGGGCGTCTGATATGGATTTAGGTTTGGATTAATCAAGCCCTGTTGATAAGGTTGTGCACCCGCAAAATATTGCGGAGTTGCAGGAATTCCAGTGCCCTCCGCCCGGAATCCATTCTCGTCGGCAATGTAACGCACTGTAATGGGTGTGCCTTCCGGCGAAGTGTATGAGTAGGAGCCCTGGATTACCTATTAATTTCAAATTGGAAATCGGTTTATTACACAAGGCACTTAAAAGTATGCTATAGATTTCGATACGATTTTTACTGATACGTAGAAAAGATTGCAAGGTAATTGTGTCGTTAAATGTATTTTTAGATATGTCAGATCTTTTGAAATTAAGTATTTTGACTAAAAACCATTAAATATTCAGTGGTAACCATTCTTAAAAACAGGTAATTGCTTCATTGTTCGAAGAATTTTATGAAATTTTATTTATTTAATAAATAATATAATATTACTTTATTTTAGGAGGGACTCAAAAACTTTTAGCTACAAGCTGAAACAAAAAACAAACTCCCTAATTTAAGGCATACTGGACTTAAGATAACCTTGAAAACGTTCTAAATTAAATGATTTTAGGCTATGTAGCAGAACATAAGTCAAGTTTAAGGTAATGTTTTCGTTAATAAGGAGACTTATTTTAAGGGCCATGCTAAGTCCATTATTTCTTAATTTTAGGAATTTTCTTAAATCAAGGATTTGGTTTTTTGAGTCTAGACCAATAAGCGAAATGTAGAAACGAAACTAAAATCTTCAACTTTAAGAATATACATTTTTAAAATATGTTTAATATGTTTAACGCCAATATATCTGTACAACCCAGCTGTTGCAATGGTAAACATTATTAAGGATCATCAATGAGGTGTCACTGATAAATTTTTTTGATAAATTTGCACGGTAAAGAACCCACCTGAGCCTCGACGCCTTCGCCGTATCCCAAGTTCTTGACATAACCCTGAGCCTGGGCAGTGGTTCCATCGGCCGACGAGTATCCGTAGGAGAAGCTGCCATCCAGATTGAGTTCGTTTTGGTAGGCCGTGATGGGCACGTAGTTCTGCTGCTGGTACTGATTGTAGCGGGTGTACGGATTCTGGAGGGCAGCGCCCGTCAACGGAGGAGCCAGTGGGTTCAAGGGATTCCGCTGACCCGGAAAGAGACCCTGACCCTGGACGGGATTGGGCTGGCGGCGCTGGAAGGGATTAACCGGTTGTTGTTGCAGGGATTGGATGGGTGGAACCTGCGGCCTTTGTCCCTGGAATCCAGTTCCTGGCAACTGAGCCTGGCCCATGGAGCACCAAAACACCAATATGCAGGCCACCCAGCGAAGGTGCCGGAATCGCGGAGCTCGGACTCCAGACATTTATGGCTGTCAGTGGGCGGGTGGGCCGTGGATCATAAATCTCGCGAACGGAGCACAAATTACACGCTCGATAAATCCGACAAGCTGGGAAACACTAGAGATTTTCCGATTTTCAGATTTTTCAGATCCGATCTCAAAAGCGAAGCAAATCCGTTGCTGCTGTAAGTGGAAGTTACTGATCGAAAGTCGTGCCACGACTGCAAATGCGGCTCCCACTGCCAGCGGTATTTATGCGGTTCTCGATCTGAGGTTGAGTTGGAACAACAACAGAACAGAACTGAGCCCTAAAGCTCAGCTCAGTTATGGTCAGAACAATTGGCCGCTTCCTGTGCTCCTCGCATCACTTTCTGACTGCATCTCGATGGTTATCTCAGAGATCTCAGAGCCCAGCGACCAGTGTAATTTATCTACGTGTTAACAAGCCGTTGGGGTGGCAGCTTTATTGGTTTTTTATCGGCCATTGACAGAAGGACAAACGAATTTCGTTTGGCTCTGGCCAAAGCTGATTGATATCTTCATGGTGGCCAGTTGGTTAGTTGGCCATGTCTTCCGCGCACTTGTTTATGAGCCAGCTCCGATATGCAAATTGCAAGCTTTTTGCTCCAGCACCTGTCTTCGCATCTGCCTCGAAGGCGTTTGTCTGAGTTATGTGCCGACAGTGGATGCCAGTGGATGCCAGTGGATGACCCCCCTCATTTTCATTTTCCCTTGGTCAAGGTGGCAGTCGGACCTCAACCTGGTCTATAAACATCATTTGTCAAATGGCATCCGAGAGATACGATTTCTATCCCCAGGATAGATTGAGAGTTTTTCGGTTCCATTGTTTCACGCTTCATCAAGATTATTCATCGTAGTCGGATTGGTCATGTCTAGGTGTGATGTGATCGCCATCACTCATTTGTAACTGCCAAGCCTCGGACAGATACATTTTCGTTTGTCATCTGTATGAGCTGCCATTAAAATTCGAACATGTCTTGCTCCATGTTCAGTTCAAACTTTAATTGCATATGCTAATTTTGATGAGGTTTTCCATTTCGAAGCAAGGTCAATTTATGCGTTAAGGTTTTGGGTCGAAATAAGTGCTTACTCATTATTTGTTTACAGCAAATGGCAAAAGATTTTTCATTTATGCTTTTTTATCTGGTTTATTTTTAGAGCCCGCCTTGTGAGCTGCAATTGTTTGTAAATTGTATAAAATGCCACACAGCCGAATAGTAGGCTATAAAAATTGAAGAAAACTCAATAGCTTCCACATTAGGCATATGCAACTCTTAAATGCGCTCTTCCTAATAAAAACTAAAATATATAAAACAATAAATGCTAAAAATAAAAGCTATAGTACTAACTAAAAAAATGTTTACAATGTCTAAAATCTTGTTACTAATTTCCAATAAATTAAAGACCACACTTTTATTAAAGTAGAGAAAAACTTAAAAGTAAATAAGGACTGTGGGCATCAAGTTAATATTTTAAAACAAAACGATACCTAAACTACAAAGAAAATAATTTTGTCTTGGGAAAAAATATGAAATATAATATCTCATTGAGCTCATCAAAAAAAGTCCCATCAATCGGCATTGAAACCTAAAACTTATATTATGTCAAATTTAATAAATATAAAATTTAAGTCCTTTAAAAAAAAAAACAAAAATTGGGGATTGATAGCTAGGTTTAAAAAAGTGTTCTTTTAGCTTTGGGGTCTTTAAAGCCAAGCTCAAACGCAAAACACTGCGAAATACTTTTTTTTATGGAAAAACTTGGTCTAAATAAAAATAAATAAATAAAAACACATATTTTATGTATGGCTTGATGTAACCTTCAGCTTTTGATTACTTTTTCGAAAATGTTTTCCCATAATGAGATGCTTTGGCACTAACAAATATTAATTATAAATATGTTTTTGGCCCATATTAGTCAACAGTCGTTTGATTGATTTGCCATTTGAATAATCCACGAAACTGGGCGAATAAATAGCAATAAAACAAAGCGCCAAAATGCGGGAAATCAAGCGCAAATTGTGGCGATGCGGGGAGCTACATAAAAATGGCTCGCCAAATTTATGCAGAAATGTGAGACACTAGACACAACAAGCGCACAACATTGTGTTGTTTTTGGCCCGATGAGCAAATCGCATTAAAGACAGGTCGGACACTCCTCCCACGACTCCAAATGCATCATGGGTTTTTGGGCTTTGGGCTCTGGTGTCTTTGCCTCAAATCCACCTAAAAGTTGGACAGCAACTGCGACGGTTATTAATAGACTGCAGCTAAAAAGTTGAAATGGTTTAGATGTCTTAGATGATTTTTTTTTTTTTGCAGAGTGGGCCTGACATTTTGCATTTGTGAATTCCATTAGTTAGAAATTATGGCCGCCAGCGGGGCTAATTGATTCACATTGAGATGTGCGTAGTGCGACTGCCATTGCGATTGCAACTGTCTTGGGGTTCCGGCTGGCAGATCTTTCCTAAAGGTCAACGTGTCGCAGCTCTGAATTATGACCTCGTTGGCAATGCGGCTACATTATGTTTATGTTGCTACATTAATGAGTTTCCACTTCTGTAGCAGGCGCGTCAAATTCCGCTCGCCAAAGACACACTAGGAAAATTGGGAACAGGATCATTCTTTAAAAAAGGAAAGAACAAAAACGTTTATTGGTAATAGCAAAAAATTAAAGAAAATTTAAAATAATAAAATAAACAAAATAAAACAATGCAATCAAGTAGTTAAACACATTTTTTTTTGGATACAGAACATTTATATTGGTGTTAATTCCTTTCTGATTTTACTATTTATTGTGAAAGCATAACTTAAAGAAATATTTAATTTAGAAACACTTTGTGAACATCATTGAAATTTAGAATAAATATAATTTCTAAATGATCTAACGAAATTAAATAAATATTTTTAATAATCGATGACAACATATATAATTTGGGAAACAAGTTATTAAAGAAAGAATAGATTGTGTAATTTGTGTAAACGTACAAATTCGAAATATTTAATTTCATTCAATCGATGGCAAGTCATTTTTATTATGAAAAATTTCTTTTACAAATTCAAATGGCCTTTTAAAAATAATAGATTAAGTCTACATAAGTAAATGTAAGAATTATAAAGAATTTTTTCATGCAACGTTGGCTAAACAGTTTGTAATAAATTAAACTCAAATTTTACGTTTTGAAATTTATTTTTATTTTTTATTTCTAAAATATTTTCTCCCAGTGCACTCTTGCAGTAGTACTTGATTCAGCGGGATTTAATCCAACTCACCGACCGGGGAGCCACAAAGAATCAATTTATTAACACGTTGCCCGAGAGCCTGGCCATTTTGGCAAGTGGAACTGGAAATTGTAACTGGGCGGGCCAAGGCAAATGCCAAAATGCAACTTCTGCCGCAACCTCGGCTGCTGTGGCAAAATTGCGAAATTGCTGGAAATTATTATTGAATTCTTTTTGCCTTGCCGTTTTGTTCAGTAATGCCATAAATGTTAGCCGCTTCCCAAAGCGGCCCGAGGTGCCCACCCACTGTAACAGAGTCACTTTTCAGTTGCACAGTTTGGAATTTGCATCGAGCAGTCAGCCGTTACCATTTCTGCACCTTTCGCCTGCCGCAGTGCCAAATTGTGACAAATTTTATTAGCCGGCTGCACCTTTCGGGCAGAACCCACGCGATTCACATATGCTTATGGATGCTATCTGCATTGTAAACATGACAGTTTACTAGCTCCACACTTCTAATGGCCATTTGAATTGCAAATCTGCGGTTCAATAAACCCCAGAAAACCAAGAAACTCGACCTGCTACTTTCTACTGACCTCAAAAAAGTCATCTCATCTGGCAAAGTTATGCAACTGTGTCTAGAAGAAATGCCTTACTAACTGGCTTCTCCTACCAAGTGCTATAAAAAGCGCAGAATCTTTTGTGCGCGCTTAGTATTAGCATAAATCATGTTCGCATTGGTAAGAAGTCGGGAGCTCATGAATAGCCAAAATTAAGTGAGTCTACTTTTTTTTTTCTTTTTTGTTACTTCCAGATATTGATGTTGACTTGCTGGCAACTGTGGAGTTGGCCCGCTGAGAGTGCTGCCATTAGTGAACCGGTGCCAATCCTCAAATCGGTGGCCGAACAACTCAGTTCTGGCTCCTATTTGTTTTCGTTCGAGGCTGCCGATGGCACTTATCGCGAGGAGCTTGGCCTAGTAAAGTCCAATCCAATGGCAGCCGATCAAGATGACGACCTGGAGGTGTCCGGCATCTATGGCTATATCGATGACAGGGGCCTGAAGCTTGAAGTCAGCTATACGGCGGACAGGAATGGCTTTTTGCCCCATGTTAGGTACGTTGCAAAGGGGGAGCCGTCTATAAATAAACCGAAGTAGAGCCATTATCTTTGATGGCCACATATTCTTGCAAATGTTAGCCACACAATTACCAAAGCCAAGCGCCGATCCAGGCGAGAATTCCCATCTGTGCGGCAAAAGGAGCGGCACACTTTTAAAAATGATATTAAGAACTGGTTTCAAATCGATTTTTTGTAGATGTTTTACAAAGTATCTTTAAAGTATTGTTAATACCTTAGCTTTAATATTTGCAGAGGTTTCATGACATACTGTTTTTAATAAAGATCAGGAGAAAAAATATGCATAGCTTAAGGTAAATAAAGAATTTTAAACAAACTAATTTTAAAAAGTAAATTTTAATAATATTATAACATGAATAAATTTAATACAACTCTTCAAATTATTTAAGGGAGAAACATATATTTGATTTTCTCAACTTAAAAAAAAAGTAACTTTTACATGATGATAATAAAGCAACAGACCTTATCTTAACAAAATATCTCTTCAATGCAAATCATGGCAGTTTACTTAAACTTTGTAAAGAATATTGTTTTTTGTTACGATAAAAATATTGATTATTTCAAGTTTCTAGTTGTTTATCTACTTAATCATATCAATTTTAAAATACTAAAAACTTTTAACTTTGTAAATACTTAAATCATTAAGCTTAGAAGACCAGGACAATGAATTTTCAGACTTTGAGTTCTTATTTGTGGCTTAAAGCAAAAATAATTTTTAATAAAATTAAAATATTTTTTTTTGTGCCTGGTCCAGCAGCTGAATTTGAAATCGCTTGCTCATCGCTGGGATATTTAATTTGCGGCCGATTTGCGAAATTAGTTAAGCTGTCAAAATTATAAATTGTGGCAGCACCGCAGATTGCCCTTTGAGCCAGCCAGGCAAAATGTCGTTCGGTGCAGAGAAATGAATTTATGTTTATCACCCCATGAAATGAATAACGAAAATAACACGATCGTTAATAACTGGCCACGGAACTACCGATGATTGAATTAATAGCGCCGCAATGTAAATGAAATTGCTGATGCACCCCATTGAGATTCTGAATCGAGTCATTTGTCAGCCGAAGATGTTCGATCGATAGTTATAGATGGGAATAGATAGATAGATGGATAGATATTTAGATGCCCTGGGCTAGGGGCTACACCCCTAGTATAAATTGCATCAAAGCTGACATTTTACATATTTCTGGGATTGGTATGGGTTACGAGTGTTGTGGTGCAAGGTGTGAGCTGCGACTGATTAATCGCGACACCTGGCGAGTGGGTGAAGTCGATGCCGTGCAAGTTATGCTGTTGCAGAGGCTGTTAATGTGGCCGCCGATCGGTGTCATCAATCGCCGGCGTCAACGCCTCGGGATCTGACTCAGATCTTTCATGATACTGGCATATACCGATACCACCAGCATAGTGACACATTTTTGAATTCCCAGCTCCGATACTGATACTGACCCATCCAAAGACCTTGACATTTAGAGCCCAGACGCATTTTAAAGTTTGCGGACGTAGCGTCCACATAAAACGGGATGCAAACATGTTTGGCATGTTTAAGCGAAAGAGCCGAAAGAGCTGGATGTGGATGTGGTCGAAATTTCGATGCAGGAGTGCGCAGCTATAAAAGCCAACTGGCCGATCCACTTTGAGTTCACACGCGCTTTAACTCTCGCTTTCTACGCTCCCAAAAAATAACCGCAAAAATGTTCAAAATCGTAAGTGGATTCAATAAAGGATTAGATGCAGTGAAAGGTCAAAAACATTCGACATTTTGATAAGTATAAGTGAAATTCGATAAAGGATAATAAACAGAGAAACAAAAATATAAGGACGTAAGGATTTACAGAGCATCCTTTGCTTTCTTTTTAAACATTTAATAACACCAGTTTTATATAAAATTATACAATTTTTTTTTATTTATTTATTTTGTTTGAATTTTATCAGGCATAGACTTAAAACTTGTACTTTTTACTAAAATATTTGTCATGTTTAAGATTTAAATTTACTATTTTTGATAGATTATTATTATTTTTTTCTGAGCGACCAGTCTATTACTTGATTTGAAATTGTCTTTTTCATAACTTTTTCAACTTAATATTCAAATGTTAATTTAGGTTTTACTTGAACAACTGCTCAATAAAATAGGTTTAAGATGAATTAGGATACTTTTTCAATGGAATATGTTTTCGAGGATATTGTATTGGGTTTGGTTGTCCCTGATTTTAAGGTCCTAACATTCTGATTTCCAACAGCTTCCTCTTTTCGTCCTGGCCGTGGTGGTCGCCAGTTGTCATGCTCTGCCCGTGGAACCCGAACGCGAGCCAGTGGCCATCCTGAAGTCCGAGACCAACAAGAGAGTGGATGGCAGCTATGATTCCGTGTACGAGGCGGCAGATGGAACCAAGCGCCAAGAGCAGGCTTCTGTGGTGGACGAGGGCACCGACGAGGAGGCTCTGGAGGTGAAGGGCTCCTACAAGTACATCAACGACCTCGGCGAGGAAGTGGAGGTCTTCTACACGGCGGGAAAGAACGGATTCGTCCCCTACGGCTCGATTATCAACCCGGAAATCACAGCCGTGGCCGAGGCAGCCAAGGATCTGCCCAAGCCGGTTAAGGCGCAGAAGCTTGATCATTAGGATGTGTTTTCAAAGGAGATCTCGTAGAACTTAATTCATAAGATTGATTATAAAAAGAGCCAGCGCGTTGTAACTGGGCAATAACCAAAATAAAAGTCAACACCATTGCGATGAAATTATGTAAGAAGCTGGGAGTATTTGTATTTCTCATTTGCATATCTACAAATTTTTTGTTTACTTAGCCGGCGAAGATGGTTTGAAAACACAGGGGAAAAAATTGAGGTTTAAGAAGTTAATTAATTTAAACAAAAATAACAAATATGGATAATCGATATGATGTATATCTCCAAAGTGTTTAGATAAAAAATCAACAGATTTTGAGATTTTTCTTAGTGCAGATTAGAAATATCTCTAAACGATCTTAAATACACTGCAGAAAAATTTACCCTAACCAAGTTTTTAAATTATTTATATAGGCAAATTAAAATGTTTAAAACAAAAGATGACAAATGTTATATGTCAAAACATATTTTGTTGTTATAATTTTTTCCCAGTGCAAAAGGGGAATACCCGGCTCAAAAGACCTTGAAAACAGACAAAAAACTTGGCACAGTATCAAAGTCTGGAACGATGTATGATTTAGCACTCGTTTGGCCACTTTGGGGTACAGTGAGGCCTGGGGCCACAAACGAGACACCTGCTTCAATACATCATTACACGCTTAAACATCGTCCATTAGCATTGATCAAAGACACAAGAAATTAAGACCTAACGAACAGGAAAGAATAATAATGGAATTGGTCATTTAATGAGGCATAAATCATCTCGGGAATTTGCATATTTGATAGCTTGGGATAGCTTGCCGTTCACACGCCATAGGCATGGATCTCACCCTTCTCCAAAAGAATAAGAACTCCCAGGAAGAAAAGGTAGTAGAAAACCAACAGAAATCCACAAGCTCGTCGCATCTTGAAGTTTGTAGTGAGGGCGGAGAGCATTGAGAAGCACATGCCCACCTCCACGAAGATGCAAACCGTCTCTCCGAATTTGCCCTCCGAAACCTTTTAAATAATTACATTTAATATTCCATATGATACTTTCTTTTTCCCCTTTACTTACTTTAACATTACTGGGCGCCTCTACGGACGACTGAAGAACCAGAGGCAGGGCCAAAAACACAAAGGATCCTGAAAGAAAGAACGATTGGATCTTTGTTATAGTATACTAATACTAGACTAAATACCAAACACAGGTGCCGAGAAGGTGGCCGTGAATGCCATGCGAGGCCATCCCTGACGAGCCAGCGATAGATTGGCCACCAAATCGTTGCTGGTCAATGCCCAGCAAACGGCCGTTGCCAGCGAAAATTCCTGGCTCACTTTCGTAATGATGGCCAGTGTAAAGAACATGGCATTCACCTCAGCGGTCAGGCAGAAGATCAGGAAAATGGTGGCCATTAAACCCAGACCAGATGTATACTGTAATTATCATCGATAGGAAAAATACATATTGCTAAATCTATTTAGAAAAGCTGAACTTATTCTTAGATAAGTAAAGTTAGTATCATGGTAATAGTCATAAAGTTAGTTTGTTATTTTTGCCAATATCAAAATGACCAAAATTTAATTCATATTATATGTTTGTTCATAATAATAGAGTTCTCTTTTCTAACACTTGGCAAGATAGTTATTCTTGTGTACTAACTTCCTTCACTTTAAGTATACAGTATAAAGTTACACATTGTTTTATTTAGATGTGCGAAAATCTGTGGAGATATGATCTTAAAATTGGTATCACGACTCACACGGAATGACTTAGATTTAAGAAAAAATGTTCGAGGTAAGGACCAACTGATACCAGTCTGAAGCCTGGATTTCATTTCCGGGGGCACGCCCACTTTGAAGTTCAGAATGATTTTACTTTGGCATTTATTAGAAAACTGGTTTTATGACTACGTGCCTGAAATCAACATTAGAAACACCGATAACTTACCCTGAAGAATTTGGGCGGAGTGTCGGTGCGCGTGACAAAAAATACCAAAATAGAAATGGGCACCGTGATCAAGAGGATTATGAGATAGGTGGCAATGCCCGCAATGGTATATCCGCTAACTGGAGAACTGGAGATCGTGAGGCGGATCATTTTAAAGGCCCCCGATTAACTCACCAATTATGTAGGAGATATAGGTGGGGACCAGAATTATATGCACATTAAAGAGCAACTTGGACCATCCGTAGTTGGGCTTCTCCATGTCCACCACTGGGATAAGAGTGCGAAGCACCATGTCGATGGGCTGCTTGACCACCAGGTAGACCTTCACCAAAACGGTTCCCCTTCGAAAGCGATCCATGTCGAATTCGGCGACTGTGTTCCAAAGTTGCCTAAAAATATCCTGATTTCGATTACCCTGACGAATGGATGTTCGATCGATTTCCTGGCGCTTCAGCGGCAACTGCGTCTGCGGCTTCAGTTCCTCCAGTTGCACTGCCTCAATTAAAGTCACTCGTTTGCTCTCCAATTCTATAGAAGATTAAAATAAATGATTAAGATCGAATGCTGTATACGAGTGCCCTAATTATTAGATACGCGATACGGAGCAAGCCTATTTCAAACTACTAAAAGCATAGCTCTTTATTACTCTCTCAAGAATATGAACTCCGTTTTTCAAATATGGATAAAAACAATTTTATAAAACATAGGTTCGATTTGGAAATTTTTTTGTGAGACAGACGGATAGATAGAAAAACAAACAAAAGCTAAATTTGGACTTGGCTATTGACCCTAATCAAGAAGAAAGTATTTATATCAACAATGAATATTTACAGGGTCGGAAACGGTTCTACATTGCATTACCTTTTAAACTACGACTAATGGGTATAGAAAGGGAATATCTTGTTATTTGTTATTTTTGTTACACACTTCGAATGCGGGCCGTCAGGAGATGCTGATCGATAATGGCCACCACAACGAATCCCAAAAATATGAATGCACTGGGCAAGGCTACCACCCAACTTATTCCATCAGGACGCTTGTGGATGTAGTCCATGTAGGCAGTGTTCAAGAACAGGAAGCCGAAATCCCTTAGGTAGTAATTGGGTTCTATATTGAATGGCTTGATCAGGATCACCATACCGGCGACAAAGATGTGCAGGAACATGGTCTGCGACATGCACGTAAGGAAGGCATACTTGGAGCTCTGCAGATTCGAGGCAATGGCCGTGAATAAGTCAGGCGATCCATTGGCAATGGCTAGAATCGTAACTCCAGCCGTGCTCTCGTTTAGCCGAAACAAGTCTGTTACAACCTTCAAGGTGGGACAAAAGCTGCAAAAATATCATCCTCTTATCAAGCAAACATTTAGGATTGTAACATATTCATGACTCACTAGTGATGTATGGCCAACTGCATCATCCAGAAGACGTAGATTAGTACTAAAGTCATACCGAGTGCACTCCAGAAGGCATTGAAACTGCTCCGGACGTCCACTTTGCAGTAATGCCAGCTCAAGTAGTTGATCAACTTCATATTAGACAGACAATCTGGATTTGACAACACAAATCGGCATTGATGTGACTCCGATATATCATGGATTGCACTGCAAGTCGCGACTTCCTTCATTTTTTACTTGGTATTTAATAATATTTTATTTTTCCTAACTTATGCGCTGATCGAAAATGCTAGGCTGCCTAATAATTTAATACATTGAGAAAGATACAAAATTCTAAAATTCATTTAAATTTCAGTATTAAACCTAATCTCTTAACTTTACTAAAATGTTCTTTTCATTTACTCCACTTTTAATTTACAAATCAATATAAAGTGCCGGCAAATTTTAGAAAATTAAAAACGTCTTCTAAAGATCAAAAATATTCTAACTAAAGAGTATGATTTAAAAAAAGAGTATTTAATGATCTATTTTAAGTGCTTACGAGTAAGTATTATAGAGGCCAGTTTTTTTGAAAACCATAAAAATGTTTTTCGTTTGGACAAAGCATTGTATGATAAGTTGTTTACGAAATTAAGCAAATGAGTTTTATCATGCCGGATTACTAATCAACGAAATATCTCAATTCGCTTTGTGTTCATTATACCTCTCTCTCGCTTGATTATACCAAAATCGTTAATCTTTTCATATTCTCCAATAAAGTTCTAAGCCATGAGCGTCAGGCCAACAATTTGTGGCCGGTGAGATAATTTCTTGTTGTCAGCTTTCTGCTTAAATTAGCACTAACCATAGCTAAATTTATGATAAGTATTTATATGCAGCACGACGGAATCCGCATTTCACATGCAGCTGCTGTCGCTCCACTTAAATCGAAATAGATGCGGATTGCGGATTGCGGATTTCAGATAGGGAATCGTTTTATTGCTAGCCAGTTAAATTAGATCGCACTCGTTATTTAAATTAAACAATACTTAGGTAGTCTAGAGTCTATGTGAAAGCTTAGGCAGTCTTGGTTTCGACCTTTGCGTCGGCTTCGATGGCGGTTTTGACCTCGGTCTTGACCTCGGTCTCTGGCACGGCATCGAGGACCACCTGGACGGGCACCACCTGGGATTCGGCGGGCACAGGCTCGGATTTCTCCACCATCACCGCTTCCTTGGCCACCACAGCAGCGTCTTCCTTCTTTTCCAACTCCTGAGAGCGGGCCTTGCGGAACTTCAGCTCATCCTCGGCGGAAACCTTGGGCAGATCGGCAGCAGCCCTGGCCAATTCGGTGATCTCCTTGGGAATGATGGTGCCCACGGGCACGAAACCGTTCTTTCCGGCGGTATAGTGAACTTCCACGGTGTTGCCATCGGCATCGATATAGCTATACATGCCGGAGACCTCCAAAGCCTCGTCCTCGGTGCCGGCATTCTCGACCTTGCCCTGCTCCTGGCGCATGGACTGATCAGCGCCCTCGTAGCTGAAGTGGAAGGAGCCATCGGGACTCTTTTCCGTCTCGAATTTCAGTACGGGAATGATCTGCTTAACGATCTTCTCGGTGGTGCTATCCACCTGGCCAATACTGGCGGCCAGACAACCACTGGCCAAAGCCAACAAACAAATGGCAATCTTGAACATCTTAATGGTTATTTTATTGCGTAAAGAAAGATGGCAAAGAGATGCTTTCTAGGCGGGAACCGACGGACGACTTGGCTTACCACATCTGCCACATCCACTTTATATACCGGCGTTTAATGTGCGCAGCAGCCGCGAATTAGCATCTTTTGGGACTCCATTACGCCATAACCGAAAAATACAAAAATATACCCAAAACAAAACGAAACGAGAAGAAAAGAAAAAAATAAAAAAAAAACACCAAAGAAATTCTATGGAAGCGAGCAGAATGTGTTTTAATAAAACACTCACAGCCCAGAGACAAGATTTGCATATTTTATGATTCAGCGACTTGTTTTAAAGAGAGGTCAAGCGATGAAGCCAACGATGAGGCACTGTAATGAGATCGATTTTGGCCTGGTTAACCGAATATTTCAGTAATCGCAGAAATTCCCGTCCAGACAGGTTGATCATCATTGTGATCGTGGAACACGTCATAAACTTGTTTCGCATTCGATGGAAGCCAACATCCATCACTTGAAGTGCCCAAATAGCTAGCAACTGATTGATTGCCAATGTTTAGGAAACTGCACTCGATTAGCATAGTGTTCCACACGCTTCGCCACACAAAGGGGCATAAATTAAGATATAGTACTTTGGATGTGCGCCCAAAACGAGTCTATATCGGATTCGAATCGCACGCGATCCATCAGTCATCAGTCATCACACGGGAAACTACTTGTGTGGGGAAAAAAACAGCCTCATCTATAAGTGACTAAGTTGCAAATTGTATGTCAAATGTGAAAAATGCACTGAGCCAGCTGAAAACAACTCTTCCTCTCAGCCAGCGGCAATTTCGCGAAAAGCAGCGCGAAGGCCAAAGCAAAACGCGGGCAACCGCGAAATTGGCCAAGTAACATGGAAAACGTACGAAAGGGAAAACCAACGGGTTGCGGCGGGAGTTGGCCTAGCCAAAAAAAAGGAAAACCAGAAGAGGAAGAAAACTTCAGCAAATAGAAGTTTATATACTCTAAATAAAATTATGGTATTATATACTACAATGTTTAAAAACAATAACGTTTTGTTAATTGTTTTATATCAGTTTTATACTATTGTCTTTTGATTTTTATAATATATCAGTTAGCGTAAGAATAAACGGACAAACGAACATACGGACAAACGGTCAACGACAAAGCTAGATTCCTTCAAAAATACATATATTTAAAAATGTCTTAAATTTCTCCTTTTGACTGAAAATATAATACTCCCAGCAAGGGTATCAAAAATATCGGGCGATGTTCATCATGTTCGTGATCATCTCCGCTGCAGCGTTGGCTGGATTTTGGCAGCAGTTATTGCTGTAATTTTTATGAATTGCAACTGACATTTCCTACACGCTGGAAAAGTTTAAAGTTTAAGCCCCAAGTGAAAAATGGTCTTAGCCGGCCGGCAAAAGTTGGCAATTGGGTAACTGGTGCAGGAGGGAGTGGTCGTGTTACCTGGCCAGCGACCTGGTCAGCGAAATTGGCCCAAAAAGGGCAAACCGATGTGGAAGTGTAAACAAAGACAGATTATGCTCTTTAACGATGCATTGAAATGGACAACTTGGCTACGCCCCATCCCGCGGCTAATTCAAATGTCAGCGGGCACAGGGAGATTTAGATTCCATCGCAGGCCATTCATTGGCAGGCCGATGTGGCCAAATGGCCAATTCATCAAATCGAAAACCAATTGCAACATTTGTAATCTTTTAATTAATATTTGACTTAACGAATTATTGCAGCCAGCCGAGCATCCAGCGGGGGCACTAATCAAATGAAGTTCGCATTGCTAATTCACATAAATTACATCGCCGGAGAACTGTGAGCTGTAAGCTGTAAGCCGCATACGCGGCGTATGCGCAACGCCCATTTGCATTTGAAACTCGTTGCGCATACGCTACGTGGTGCAGCTCTTCCGATTCTCTGGCTGTCAGGCCAGCCAGCAAACACTGTTTGTTTCGAGGCCCGCTCCCCCAGCTCCCCCAGCTGCCCTTCGGCTCACCAATTGTGATGCTGCTGCACTGCATCTGGTTGCGGATGCTGGCGCTGCTTCTGCCGCTGCTCTGCTTCGAGCTGCAGTGCATGCGATTTCGGTATAAAAACGTTTGTGGTAACTGCAGCCAAGTCAAAGCACTTTTGACGAGCCTTCCAGCGCAGTACCCGCTATCAAGTCGCGAATCCGAAGTGAGTTTCAGTTCTAGTTGCAGTGGTGGTGAATCCTTCGAGCAAGGATCACAAGACACAAAGCTACAAAGTAAAAGAAAACAAAAATAAAACTAAGAACCTAAGTGGAGCTAGATCAGTTCAAAGGATATATTTAAAAACCTATGCTTAGGATGACTTTTTGGAAAAGAATCCAAAAAAATCTATACCATTAAAACGGAAAATACTTTGGTATACTTTTTGGAAAAGGATACATACAAAAATCTATACCATAAAGGCTTAAATTACTTTGTATAACATTTTGGAGAGACCTTTATCCTCCCATATGAATGTTTTTCCCACGACCTTCATCATCATAACCATCATCATGTCGCAGAACTTTCAAATCGCAAAAAGCCAATCGGAGTATATCAGATGCTAATTGCCAAGCAACGAGTTTGACATTCAAAGACAACGCCGGCGGCAACTCAATCGGGCAACACAAAAAACTGAAAATTGATCACCGCACCTCATCTTACTTATGACTCTATTTAACCTGCATAACTAACCCGTCGCCGGTCCCCTGTCCTCTTTCTCGCCCACTAAAGGTCATGACGATCACCCACGCCTCCTTCGCAGCCGTCGTTTTGGCCCTCTGCTGCCTGAGTTTGGTCCATGGCCAGCCACAGCGAGGACTTCCCCCGCCCCGCGGCAACTCCTTCGATGCGAATGCCGTCATACTCAAGCAGAACTTCGACCTCAATCCCGATGGCTCATATCAGTACAAGTAAGTATGAGATTACATTTTGTAGACAACTGACTGATCCTTAGCCTTATCATCAATTTGATTAAATCCTTCGCTTTTATACACCATGAGTACTACTATGTACAATATTTCTGAACATTTACAGTTCACCCCTACCCATTAATTTCAATACCAATAAAACGCGTTGTTTTCAAAATGCTGACACTAAAGTTTCAAACTTTCTAAATTTTTGTTAAAGGTTCACAGTTGAACCCATAATATATTAGTTACTAAATGACAAAATTCTAGAAGACATATATTTTTAAATGTTTAGTGTTATATTACTTGAGAACGATTCGACGCTTTTAAACACCAGTGCTTAACGTGAATTTCTTAATAATTAAAAAAATTGTAAATTTCGTACAGTTCTATTAACAAAAAAATTACTAAGTTTACTTTATAAGTAAAACAAGATACTTTTTCAGGTGACTAATAATTTAGAAAGCATTTTGGTAACCCAAGTGTTTTCTACATTTCGAAATGTGGCTTATTTCTGATCCAGAACTATTTCAATTTCTTTCGAAACGTTTCAGCTACGAGACGAGCAATGGAATCCGAGCGGATGAGGCTGGCTACTTGAAAAACCCGGGCAGTCAGTTGGAGGCTCAGGTAAGCCTGCTTTTGGGCGTGGTCTTGCAAACTTTGTAGCATAGTTTGAGGCACAACTAAATGTTTTTCAACTATTTTGTAGGTAATGCAGGGATCTTACTCGTACACCGGACCCGATGGCGTGGTCTACACCATCACCTACATTGCTGATGAGAACGGATACCGTGCCGAGGGTGCTCACATACCCACTCCGCCTCCAGTTCGTGCCGCCGCCGCTCCCGGAAGATTCTTCAAGTAATCCCCAGCGTATTAGATTCGTGTTCCAATTCTTCATCGTTATGCCCAAGTTGAAAATCGTTACGTTGTGGGTCAGTTAAGCTGACCAAAAGTGAACCAGATACAAACAAGAGAGATCCATCATCCTTTCCCACCCACAACCATTTCCATTTCACCCTCCTCTCCCCAAAAAATTTTCTCATCTTCGTGCTTCATCTGTGAATTTCTACAGCCAATCCAGTTTTCAATCTACGTTCAACAATCTACATTCTACTTAGTGCCTAACGAACTGTGTGTGAGATAAACATTTGTAAGATATGTAAATTCGATTGTTAAATGTCGTACGGCAACGCAAGCTCAGCAATAAAACGAAAATTGCACAAAAATCAATCCAATGCGTTGTGATTTAAGCCTTTTTAGGAGAAGGACTTGAGCATGGTAATATACGACATGGCTGTGCGGACAATCTGAAATGGAAAACAAGACGATTAGTGTTTAAAATTTAACAAGATTTTTTTATATTCTTAGATAATATTCACCTGAGAACTATATGCGAATTTCTATGTTCAAGATTTTCAAATATTTAGTTATTATTCGCCCGAGAATAAAAAGAGAATTTCTATGTTAAAATTGGTAAATATTCATATGGAAAGTTAAGTAAGTTAAGTATTTAAAAATAACTATTTAGAATGGCTATGTTACATACAAATTTTTGTTTGATACAGAATAATTATTGTTTTTGACTTTTTTTTTGTTTGCTTAGAAATAACCATTCTTCGTGAAGAGTATAATAAATCATTATTTTATGATTAAAAATAAAAAACGTATAATGATAACGTTCCCTGATTTTTAGACCTTTTTTCCCCATTACTAAGTCAGTATCCGAAGCATATATTATTTAGTTTGTTTGCTTTAGATAAAGCCCCTTAAATCTTTTGATTTTAAATTTTTTAAGGTAACTAAGAACATAGCTGAATTAAAAGCTATTGGAAATTTCACACTCACCGATGAGAATGCCTCCATATTGGCCTCGAAAAAGTAGCCGGTGATGCGAAATCCATGATGTGCCCGCATCATGCTGATCAGCAGGGATCGGCAGATAGAGGTCGAGGCTCCACCAGATCCCAAACTTTCGTGCCAGGGACTGTCGTAGATGGCAAACTCAAAGTTGGCACTCTCGGTCTTCAAATTTTCGCCACAATAGCAATAGATGTAGGCCTGTATAATAATGGTGGCTATGAAAGAGGCGTAGTACACTCCTTCTGTTTGGGCAAAGGTTATGGAAAATAGGTAGCCCAGCATGCAAAGTTGCAGTGAAGAGATGAAAAATTGGGCGCAAATGATGGGTTGATAGCATAGATTTAAGTCGGTGCACATATCCAAACTCGTTTGATACAAGGCAAAGATCTTATTAAGAGTGTCCTGTGATTCCTTGAGATTTTTGCCTTTAAATCTTATGACCTTGTACTGTGCGATCTTGAAGAAGGCGCACAGATTGCTGGTAAAAGAGCAGAATATGGTATCCAAACTGACGGCAGGTAAAACCACACCAGTCGAGGCAAAGGCACTCCAAATAAAGCTCAAAACATAGTTGCGCCTGATGTGGATGTCCCAGGGAAAACTAAAGACGTTATATTTGAAAAGAGGATTGTTATAATATATATTGTAATACCCACAGACAGGGAAAAGGCAGCTCTGGTTCAGCATGTCCTGTCAGCCAATAACTGAGACCCATTCTCACAAAGGGCAGCACACTATTCAGTAGCCAGGCCAGAAAAAAACAGGTCCTGAACAAAGTGCACATACGTTGATCCTGTTTGTTAGCTGCATTTAGAATCTCAGCATACTCCTCGCCCTGTTCCGATTCTTTAATAGATCAAAAAAACTCATAAAAATATCATAACGTTATAAATAAAACCCAGCTCACCATTTGACATCAGCAAACGAAACTTGTCAATCAATCGCTTGAAATCCCTTCGCAAGTAGAGTATCATGCTGAACTTGAAGAGTCCCAGAATGGTAATCAATAGAGCCACCATGGCATCCGCCAGCAGCATCACGTGCTTCCAATTGTGCAGCACAGCAGCCAGAATGAAGGGAAAAATGGTAGCTATGCCAAATACATTCAAGGCTCTATAGGGTCGCCTCCACATCTCACGGTTTTCACTGAACAAATCAAATCCAAGCCAGGCGATGGTGCTCTTCTGCACTTCCAGGAAACTATCCATGTTGATAAGTGTTAATTCGGTCTCACACTAAGGAAAGTCTGATAGAGTCAGGGGTTTTAAACCTTTCCACTGAGCAAAGTATATGGTTAACTAAAGAGAAAAAGTTGTAAGGAAAGCTCCATACCCTTTTAAAGTTACTTAGATTACTTAGCAATATTTTAAGCCTTACGTATTATTGTGAAGGTAATAACCTTAATCTAAAATCAATTTATTTCAATTTTTTTGTAATTTAGTTAAGGGGTTTTTTTTTTGATGAGATGATAAATTTTGTATAAATGTAGGTATAATGTATAGATTGGTAGCACAAAATGTACATTGTTTTCCAATCCTATATGATTATTAATAATGAAATATTTTTCCAACACAGACAAATTATTTATATATCGCTCAGAAATAATTAATATTTTGTGGCCGTATAATTAGGCCTTAAAATATTACGGAACTATGACAAGATTATATTCTAATATATTCTAGTAAGTTAAACCAGGTAGCAAAAAAATGGCAGCAAAAATAAAACATTAATGTGGCTAAGAAAATATTATCTAAATAATATTATCTAAATAACAGTTGTAAGTTTTTGATTTTGTAGTTAAAAACATAAATTAAGAATATTTTTGGTAGCTGTTTAAAGTATCCAAGTTGTAAGTGGTAACCAAATCCTTGGAAGGGTTAATGAACCCTTTGATATGGAATAATAACAGACCCATAAACATCACCTCCGTTTGACACCTTCCCAGGCATTCCAAATGAGAATCAAATTTTAATGCTTCAATGTTCTTTATTCACGCCTCGACATCCGTGGGTGTCCTTCTGACGTGTGGCAAGTGGTGGGTTTGGCCGGAGGCGTGGTCGGGATGACAGTTCCGTCCTATCGGCCGTACCAGCCGCCACCGCCGTGGCGACCCCAACCGCCGCCGCCCCATCCGCCATGTCCGCCCCATCCTCCATGATGACCGCCACCCCATCCGCCATGGCGACCGCCACCCCATCCGCCACCCCATCCGCCGCCGCGTCCGCCCCATCCCCACTGGCGGGCCTCGCGGGCTCCATCGTTGGCATGGTTGGCTCCCTGATCCGCGACGTCCAGGAGTCCGATCACCCGGTCATCCTCGTTGGTGGCATCATCCAGGGCGTAGGCATAGGCCAGGCACAGGATGCCAATGAAGGCCAGGATTGTAAGACGCATCTTTCCGTTCCGATGCGATTCGATTTGATTCGATTGATTGCTGGTGAAGACCTGAGTGCAACTGATGACTTGTGGACTCGACTGCGGGCCTTATATTGCAAGATCTCGTCGGCCGGCGTTCCTGTTCTCACACGCATCAATACAATCTCCACACATCCCCTCATATGTCACCACCTCTCTGGCCATATATCCATACTATACAATATACCTAGTACATAGTATATACCTAAACGAGAGGTGCGATTGTTTAGGGGCTTTTTTGACCGGGTTCTGTTTTGCATCGTTATATTTCACCACACAATTATTACACTCATTGTTATTCTGCTTGACTTTTTTTGGTCATTTTTTTGGCTGTCATTACTGAATCATTTCAAATTTAAATGTCTCATTTGCGAAAGTTGTCGGGATGCTGCTCCTAAGTGGTTCCATGCATACATAGATCATTCGATTAGGGTTTGCAGGCTGTCAACAATTGGGACCTGTTTCATTTTAATGGGTTTTTACTTAACCGCATTTGGATAATAAACGTCAATTCCATGGTTCAATAAAACAATTTTTAGTCAACCAAACGAAATTTAGTCTTTAGAAAGTTTCCACTTGAAAACTAAACTTGCAACTAATTGCAGGTTGAGTAAGTCTACTTAATGCTAACAAATCTTATCTAGCACATCATTGAGAAAGACCCCATATGACACATTGGCAAATGACAAGCTTAGTTAAGCCTATTACCGTGTAATTAAATCTTGAAATTATTAAACTGTCAGGGCCAGTAGTAAAATGTAGTAGTAACTAAACACCTCATTTAAAACGTTCTTATTTTGAATAATCTTATACACACTTTAAGAGTAGCTTGTTGAATTATCATATTTACTCACAAGGATTCATATGGAAATGATCTTCCAATTGTCTAATGAATGTCAAGATCGTCTTGTTTGATCTAGACTCGAAAAAGTAAACAACTGGGGATTTACGATGGCAAGCCAATGAACCTAAGCTGTCAATACAGGTTCCCCTCGAAATATCCCAAACTTTGTTTAATATTTTTCAAAACAAAAAAAATCATTTAAATGATTTGCTTAATTTGCCCTTGCGCGTTAAAGAACAAAAAAACACGCCCACTGTTGTTTTTGGATGCATATATTTTGGCAATAAACTTGAGTTCCACCGATTTAAATAAGTCATTCTGGAGCTTAAAAAGTTTTCTAAAATAAAAGCTTTTTTAAATGGGTGAAGATGACTTAAAGAGGGCTTGTCGTTTTTATACTCTAACAGAAGGTATTTTGGGTTATAACTTATGGATGTTATTGTATACTTTATTTAAGTTAATTTGTTTTAATTTTACAAAAAAGTCCAGATATCTGCAATTTCCATAATATTTTAAATCATCATATGTATCTTTAAATGATTTAAAATAAATGTGGTTGTACGGCAGATCTTATATTATCTATATGTGGGGTTTTTATTTATTAAGAAAGTTATAATTTAAAAGTTAGATTATTAATATTAATTAACATAGTAAGTAATCTTTGTGTTTGATTTAACCGTCGTTTCGTCGTCACACGTCGTTCGCTTGAGCACGTCTTTACTCAACTCGATCTCGTCAGCAACTAACGCTCGTCCTCTCGATGTTGCTCTGCTCGTCTCCTCGTCGTCACATCTCGTTGTAGTGATCGTCGTCTGCTCGTCTTCCTGGAACGCTCGTCTTCTTGGAACGCTCGTCTTCTTAGAACGCTCGTCTTCTTGGAATTCGTCTTTTGATCATCTACTCGTCTTCTTCGTTTTAGTTGCTTCTCTCGTTGTCTAGGGCGTCATGTTATACGAATGCTGGGGTTTTATGTGAGGGATTCGGGGAATAATACAATCTCACTCCTACATATATATACAAGCGTATCTAACCATAGATTTGATTATTCCTTTTTGTTGGAAACTGCATTTTCGAATAACTATTTGATTGACATTTGCATAACAAACAAATTAAGTTTACCCAAATCTTATATCAACGCGATGAACGGTTAATACTTCATTGACATTTTCTAAAAATAAAAGCTGTGAAGTCTTGCACTTTTGTCCATGTATACATATTTACCCCAGCAATTTGTTAATGTACTTTTGGGGGATTTTTTTAAGCTGCGTAGTAATATTAAAAGTGAATTTTTCGCAACTTTATATTTCACCACACAGTTATTACACTCTTTTCTTATTCTGGCGGTCTGCTTAGTTTTTTCGTTTATTTTTTCGGCTATCATAAAGAGATGTTAAGAGTTGCTAGGTATTTCCTATTATGGTCAGTTGTTTACCGAAGATTTTTTAATGATATACCAAGGAACATTTTGTCGAAATATTCCCTCCCAGTCTCAAGAACAAATTAAAATTGTATTTTAAGCTATTTTATTTACAGAACATTGGGTTGGATATAAAAGGGAAATTTAGAGTTATATTAAATCTTTAGCGACCGTAGTGTCCGTGACCACCGTGACCGTGATGTCCATGTCCATGACCACCGTAATGTCCACCTCCATGACCTCCACCATATCCTCGAGCTGCCCGAACTCCGACTTCGGCATGGGCTTCTCCGTGATGGGCCACGCTTAGGAGATCCTCCAGATTGGCTCCATTATTGTTAAGGGCAAAGGCACAGGCCAGGCACAGCAGGCCAACAATGGACAACAGGATCAGACGCATCTTGTAGATACTTCAGTTAGGTGACTTGATAGATAGATAGATTGTTTCGCTTGAGCTTGGTTCTTTGCTTTCTTGCAACTGTGAATCGGTGAGCCAAAGCCATGGTCTTTTATTTGGTCAACGATCCAGAGAAACCACTGACATTCCTGTTTTTTGTTTACTATTTTGAATATTCTGGTTTGCGGTGGCTAGATTTAATGTTTCACATAAAATATCAAAAGGCAAACAATTTAAATGACTGTTGTTATTCGACTGAGCTAATAAAAAGCTCTTTAAAGCAATGGGGTTTTTTGTTAACTTAATTGCGCTTTGGTTTTTAGAGCTTTTGGAAAGCTTAAACAAAAGTTGTTAATACGCTTTGAATTTGGGTCAGTTTTCAGGTGGTATATTTTTTAAGGAAGCGACTGTCATGGGGCTAGCTACCACCAGTAGTTACTATAGCTATTGCCCCATGGACGATATGAAAGACTCCATCCACCATTCCAGCCGCCACCCCATCCTGAATTCCAACCTCCACCCCATCCTCCAGAAATCCAGCGTGCTGGTCTTTCACCTTCTTTCGCCTCCTGACCACCCAAGTCAGCCACATCCTGTAAAGTGACGGCAGGAACATGATCCTCGTTGACAGGCTGTGCCAAGGCTCCTCCCAAAAAAACCAAAACTGCCAGAAAAAATATGAACTGCATCTTAGCCAACCGCTTTAAAAAATACTACCACCTATCGGATCACTACTGCCACCTTTTATACCTCACAGAGTACAGTTCTCCGCCCACTAATTGCAATTTATTTGCAAGTTGAAGACAATAAGCTGAAAAGCCATGACCCAACAGACAAACCATATTAACAAATAACAACAAATTTATTTAACACAATTTACATGGCTTAGCAGAGCAAAAAACTGCATAAACTTCTTTACAACTTGCAGACCAGCAGTGTTGAGCAAACAACAAAACATTTATTTATTTAGCAGTTGAGCAAGTATAAATTTTTACTTTTTCTTCATTTCATTCATCATCATATTTTTAAAAATCAACGAAAAAAGAATTCATTAATTTAACACCATTAGCAACAAAGTTTTTATTCTTGGCTAATAGAGTAGGTGATTAAAGGAATGCAAAAGTAATTTTAAATTAACAAATTCATTTATTTATCAGCTTAACAACTTAAAAAAAAAGTTTATAAAGAATATTTTTATTTTAAAAACATAACATTTAAATCAATCTGATCTATCAAGAACAGATATAATTGTTTTTTTTTAAAAGTCCTTCTTTGTATCAAACAGATTTGATTTGTATATTCATAAATGAAGAGATGATTCAAAATGAAAAGAAAAAGAAATTATTAAAAAGAAGAAGAAATTTGATTATTTTCAGCTAATTCTAGAAGAATGGAAAAATTGTAACTGCGAAAATCTGTAATGTAGTTTCAATGACTTAATCGTGTGATTGCTATTAGTACTGACGGATTTATGGCCTAGCCGAGCAAACTGAGTAGCCCGCTCAGCGCTTGAGGATTAGCGCCCGCCCCATTTGCGCCCGCTGCCCCGCCCCCGTTTGCTAGAAGGGGGCGTAGACTGCTACCCAAAGCCTGGCCCAAAATGCCTGCTAATTGGGCTTGTTGAGCGGTGGATAGCTGTGAACTACCAGCTCCAGCTCCAGATACTGCTCCTGCTCCTGATCCCACTCCAATTGCCGATGATGTGGGTGAACTAGATATGCTAGCTGTACCACCATATCCTCCATAAGAAGGATAACCCGCAGATGCACCTATGGAACTATAATTCGGCCTGTAACCGTAATACTGCTGCGGTCTCTGGTAGCCACCATAGTTGTAGTAGTTGGGTCTATAATAGTTCTGGGCATAGCCATAGCCCAAGCTGGGATATCCATAGTTGTAGCCGTAATTGGGATAGCCGTATCCATAGTTGGGCCTATATCCATAGCTGGGATAACTGGCGCCGTAGTACGAGTCCAGAGGATCCGATTGAGTGCCTGCGCCACCACCTGAAGATGCCGATCCACCACCAGGTCTGATTGGAGGTGGAACATCGAAGAGCGGACCACCACCTCCCAGTAAAAGAGGCGTCAATAGACCCAGGGTCCTGCCCTGCGGCTGATCCTGCCTCGATTTACTCCTTTGCCCGTGGGACAACGAAATAAGAAGGCTCAATAGAGCCAATCGCGCGGGTAAAAACATTCCGTGACCGTCGAATGCAGATCAGCAACTGAAGACCGACTGAAAAACCAAATAATATTTTATACCACAGAGTTCTTGAGTTAATTTCCAAATAAGTTTGGCAAAAGCGAAAAAACAAGAAGACCTTCGGCACCTTCAAATACTGATCACCGCAGGCCGAGCGGAACTTTGCAAGTTTTGGGCCAGAACGTCATCAACTGGTTGGAACCACACTGCTTTCACGCCCAGCTCTCGAGATCGTCTCTTGTTTTCTGGCCCTGCCTGCAGACGAATCACTATGGCACACACCCGACATTGACCTTGCCAAAATGTTGGCCAAATAAGTCAGCAATCTGTTTCACACCGTTAACTCGATCGCTCACTTCCGCGGGTTTTTTGTTATTTGTTTTTGGCTTTTTGTTTTGGCTTTTTGTTTTGGCATTTTGTTTCATTCACAGTCGAAAAGCCAACAACTGGGGGCGTTTCTGCTATATTTGCCGGCTATAATAATAAAATTTGTCAATAGCAATGTTAATTAGCGGGCTGGAAATCTAGTCACCCCTGAGAAGATGCATTCTAATAGATCATCGCATCACTGATTCTGAATCATCTTATACTTGTGATGTATTAGAGCGGAGGTTCCCCTTTCTTGTATTTCTAGGTCTTTCGGGACTGCATCGAATTATAATATTTGCACTAATTGATCAGAGTTTCGCCAGACGTGGAAATATTTGACTTTTAATTTAATTAAGTCAGGCTAGACATTTGCCAGTTAGTCAAAGCGATTAGCTAATTAATATATTCGTGGTTCAATATAAATTTTAATATATTTAAGAGCTCTTCGTAAAATATTGCGATTTGTAAATACAAAACCAATAAATTCGAAAATATATTATTTTATTTTTTATACATTTATCTCTATCTTATTTTTAACTTTTGTTAAGTTACCATTTATAGATCGTGGTAAACTGCAATGTTTTTAAATATATGGATTATTTTTTATGTTTCTTATTAAGTTCTTAAATATCAGATATTGCAATTAACTACAGCTTATGTTATTGCGAAAATTATAGTTTTTTAATAAGCTGTTTAAGTCTACGCCTAGTTTGAGTTCCATATTATTAAACCGTCACTTTAAGCCATAATTTATTCGGAAAAGTCATTTGGTAGTTGGTCAATTAAATTAAACTTTTATGTAAGAAAAAAAGGTATTTCCATTTAATAAGCCCTTCAAACCGGTTTAACCCATCGCAATGGCATACGATTTGTTTTGCTTAAATCTGTTACGCTTATTTCGTTTTGCATGCTCATTTACAGATAATCTTTTAAGCTCATTTTTGATATGACTTGAATGCCGGTCAACAAACCGGTTTCACTTTCTTACTGAACCTTTTAATACTGACGCTTAAGCAATTAATGTGCTTCCCCTGATCCGCAAAAAAAGACACCCATCTCTGCCAATAAAGTAAACTCGATCCCCTCGGAGAATTCAAGTAGTTAACTGCGCAAAATCCATCTTTCCTTGGGTCAGTGATCATTTGAGATGTTTACTGGTCTGCATTCAACCGTAGGAGAAGTAAATCCCCAACCTGGGGGCTGGTCTTAAAAAAATAGATACAATACAAGATCTGATATAAACAGAAAAGATACCCTCTACCTTGAAAAATGCATATAGGTTTTAGGAAAATGTTAATTAGACAACATATTAAAGGGCAGTAGGACTTCACTGAACAATTGAGAGGAAAGAATTTTCTACCATTAAATTCAATTTAATTATTTAATTTTTTTATGGATACAAATACATTTAAAAAATGTTTTAAGATATTCAGAAAATTCTAACTAAACAACTAACTAGATATTTACAATCGCAGAAAGTCTTTCATAAACAATTACGGGAAAAGAACTTCGTAACTTTAAATTCATAAAATATTTCATAATATTATTGATAGATAAAAATTATATAACGTAAACTAATTATGCTTTTTCCAGATTAAAACATTTTTATAAAAGAATACAATAAGAGTATTTGTACATTACTCAAATTAAGAAATTGTGTAGGTAACCCATCCGATAATTTTTTTTAAATTTTGTAAATACTGTGAGAGTTTGGGGGTTGTTTTTTTCAAAGTAGCACATGAGGCGACTGGGATTTCCGTTGACCTTAAGTTTTTGGTGAAATCATCAGCGTCAAACGATAATTGCCCCACGGGTATAACTAATGATGCTTGGATGGCATATACTGGATGATAGGGCTATAGAACACTTGCTCTTCAGACGGGATCTCCCCCGAAGATTATTTTGCTATAAAAGCTAGAATTCGAGACGAATTGATGGTAGAAAGTGTTCGAGTGTCCAATATGAAACAATATCTACTGTTTGCTGTCGTCTTTGTGGCGATTCTGGTGCTGAGCAGAGGGCATCCTCTGGAGGATCAGCAGGTCACGCTGGAAGATGCCGAAGTGCAGCCCGGAATCGATGATGGAACTGGAGTGAGAGCTGCCCGTCACTTTGGAGGAGGATTTGGAGGATTTGGCGGACGTGGTGGCGGAGGATTCTGTTGTGGCGGTGGTGGTGGCTTCCGGCGCGGAGGATTCGGCGGTGGTGGCTATCCCGGTGGTGGCTATGGCGGCTATCCAGGAGGCGGTTACGGAGGCGGCGGTGGAGGCAGTGCTTCAGCCTCGGCGTCCGCTTCAGCCAGTTCCAGTTGGGGACGCTAATAACTTTAATTTGCCTTAAATTAATTGAGACGAAAATAGACAAATGTCCAAAATGTAAACAAAAACATATGAAGTTTGTTTTTAGGGGTGAGAATTGGGTGGCTTTTAGTGTAAGGGGGCGCGGCAGTTTGCTTACGCACTTAGTCGCAAATAGTACGCAATCGACTGGAACCGGTCTCCAAACGCTAATCACTGAATCCAATTTAAACTCGATCGAATTTCTATTTTTCCCACAATTGAAAAATCTTCCCAAGCCAAAGATTCCACTAGTTCTAAGCCCTTTAATTAAAAATAGCACATTTGGATCATAATTATGTGCTTATATGATTGCTTTTGTTTATAGCTTTTAAGCCAATATTTACTAGTGCTTGTGAAATAAATTTCTTAATGAAAGGAATCGCTAAGTCTGGAATAATGTAACCTGTTTTTGAGGCACACACTAATTGACAAGTCAACAAAAACACTAGTTCGATCAATTTCCAGTCATCTGGAGTTGGGACAGGGTTTTTGCGGTTTTGCTTTGATGCACTCCCGAAAACCTTGCAATCGAGTATTTTAATGGAAAATTACCTCCAAATTCCTGGCACAACATTTCACCAGAGGAGATGAACTTTAATTTGGGTTTTTTTATGATTCATTACTTCTAATTTGTAAGGGTAAATATTTTTCACACTCGATTGAGGAATTAAATTCCTTGGTGACAAGCACTGTGTCAACATTATTCATGTTTACTTCTAGGTTTTTGCAATTGCAATTAATTAGCATGTCCCCCAATTTGTTATTTACAATAATATAACAATATTGTGGAAATAAATATTTTGCAGAATGTTAGTTTGTTGATTCAATTTATTTTTTTTAGGTAACTTAATGAAGTTCTCAGCTTAAGTGTTAGGTTCTTGTCTCATAAAGACTAAAAATACCTCGAAACAAATCCTAAAATAAATGCTCACCTTTTGAATTGGCACTGCGGTACACCGACTTTGTGGTTTCTCATTTTCGATCGATTCCACAGAAAGAAAAATAAAACCAAGATTATAAAAATATGTAAATATTATTTTATAGTCGGTTGTGGCAACCACAAATATAATTATAAATTATTAGATTTATGGACAGTTTACGTTGCATAAACGAAAAGACAGGTATTTCTTCAAAGCAAAGATTTAAGAGATCAGGATTTTTTTGTTTTTTAATACACTAAAAAAAATATATATGTACATACAGGCTTAAGAGAAACTTGGCTGGACATTTTATTCGAGATCAATTTCTAAATTTTGTTGCCATTAAAACGAAATGAAGTAATAAAGATTTCTACAAGTTTTACTGTATTTAAACACTCTAAAGCCTCCTAAAAATGGTTTTGTCTACAGTGCTAAAGAATTTCTGCCTCATACGTCATAGATGTGATACTAAGAAATGCCTAATTGGTGACTGATTTTAGTGATACACTTTTTCTATGAGATATTTCGCGAGACCAACTTAATATGAAAACAACAATGACTCACACGCATTTTGGTGCCTACCGCAACAAAAAGCAAAAGTTGCGAATGCCAAAAACCGCAAAGACATAAGAAATGCCACCCCCCAAAGGGGTTCAGCCCCCATTTGACGTCATACGAGAGGAGTTGTGAGTTTTGAGTTGAAACCGGCCAAAAAGGCTGGAACACATTGACGGAAATGCTGTGTGGTGCGATGCGATAATTGAATCAAAATTAGTGTCACCACTGGAATCTGGCTGGCTGGTCAGTCATAACAATTAGCGCGTATTTGGGGAAGATTCGCGGCTATAAAAGACAAAGGCAGACTACAGATCAGACACAGAACCCCAAGGAACTCCATCTAGAGTGGACATACCAAGCCAGCCAACAGCTACAATTCAAAGCCTAATCAAAAATCACTTAAATACCTGATAACCATGCAGTTTGCCATATCCTTCGTTGCGATTTTCCTGATCGCCAGATTGAGCCTGATCCAAGCAGCTCCCATCAGTGATAGTAGCCAGGATTTAGGATTCGTCTCCGCCACGGATATCACGGGAGAACCAGTGCGCCAAAAGCGAGCCAGTGCGGATTATTACAAGGGCGACTTCTTCATTTGCTATCCCAAGAGCGAGGTCTACGGAAAATCTCGCTACGGTGGATCCCATCGCAGATCCTATGATTCGGAGGAAGAAGGCCCACACTACCTGGCCGATGATCCTTTAGCCGTCCGACAGGCTCGTGCGGATGCCAGACGTGCCGCCTACACCGACAGCTATGGCAAATAAGTCTACCGACTGATCCTTATTGGATAAATAAGAATAAGATACCTTTCAAGTTGAGAAAACGCACAGGTCTAGCTTTTAAAGTTGTACAAACAATTTATTGTTATTATTTATATTATACAAATAGGAATAGGATAAAAACTATAAAAATTACCATTAAACAAATAAAATTATTATTATATTAAAAATATATAAAATTGCATTATTTTCAATATCATTTTTATATTGATATACTGTAAAACTGTAATAAGTTCAATTCAGCGTTGAAAAATAAGTCAGGAAGATTATGATATTTTCTGTTATATAATTTATTTCAAAGAATTGCATATAATTCGATGTCTGGTAAAAATTTTTGGGAATAAATTGTTAGGATCTAAAGCAAATATCAGAAAAACAGGCATGTTTTATCAATTAAATTAGTCTTATACAACTACGGAAAGTAAGAAATTCAAAAACTTTTGGAAATCTCTTTCTACTTTATTAGTAATTAAAGGTTTGTTAATAACTAAAAATATAAGTTATAATTTCCCATAGCATACCCTTAGGCTGAGGTGCAAAGTAATTTCCCAGCCTCTTGGTTTCTTGAGCGGTCACAGACGCCCCCGCTTTACCCTACAGATATGAGATATATATTTATATCCCCCATGAGTCGTCCGACTCATCTGGTGAGCAACGATTTTCTGCAAGGCGAACTCCGTGTGCTGGGCCGTTGAGACATTTCGCACCTTATTTGCCTTGGGCATTAGGCTAAAAGTGTGAATTGTTTATAAAGAGATTACAAAACCGAAGACATGGGCGCTCAGTGGGCCGGCAGTGTTCGACTTTTGCGGCCATAAAAACATAAAATGAAAAAAAAAAAACGGCATCACTTTAAACGAAAAACCAAGGCGGATAATTGCAAAAGAAAGTTTTCACCATCGGCCTCGGCATAAAAGGCGATTCCGACGAGCCGGAAGCAAACAGTTGCCTCCAGAGATAGCTACCGAAATGACCAAGTTTGTTGTGAAGAAAGCACTTGTGCTGTTTACCCTGTTAGTCCTGGGTACCATAGAAGCCAAGCCCCTGGATCAGAATCAGGATGAGCATTTGCGAAAGGAGCGGCAGCTTAAATCTACTGATGCAGATGTCAAGATGGTGGCCAATGTGACTCCAGCAGGATCTGCAGGATCTCAACCCATGACGATGGGCATGGGAATGGCGTTGCCCATGAATCAGATGGCCCTGAGTTCCGTGGGTGGCCAGCTGGTCAGGTATCCCAACTATCCTGGCCTGATATACCCAGGAATTCCTCAAGCACCTGGCCTAAATGGTATTCCCGGCCTGCAGACAAACATTGCCAACAACTATCCCTCGTATCCGGATCCCAATCTGGCAGGATCTGCTCCCGGTTTCAATCCCTTCGGATCCTTTGGCTATCCCGGCGTGCCACAGATGTACGGAAGCTCCCTGATGTACCCCAATGCCCAGCTGCCTAATGGATTTGTGCCCAACCCATCGGTGGATAACTTCCAATCGCTAAACGGCATTGTCAATATGGCCAATGTTCAAGGATTGGGTGGCGGAAATACTGGCTTGTATCCAGCACCTCAAGGATTCGGTGGCATCAGCTCGGGACTATATCCTCAAGCTCCGCAAGGATTTGGTGGAGCCAACTCTGGAGGGCTGTATCCTGCTCCTCAGGTTAACATGCAGGGACTTTATGCACCACCCGGTGGTTTCCTGGAGCGCATGAACATGCAGGCCTACGCACCTGGCTTTTAAATGAGCTCCATAGCTCAATATTCAATAAGATAATTTATTTTATTTATTTTGCAAAATACAAGAACATTTAAACAGAAGAAATAATGGTGTTTTTACTATTCAATCAGAAAATGTTCTTAGTTTTCATACTTTTTAAAAGCTTTTCTTTTGTACACACTTTGTGCATATTTACCATGTAAAAACAAGTATCTGGCTGTTGATTTCAAAATGTCATGGCTAAATGAAATTTAAATACCATGCATCTTTGGTTTCAAACTAAAATATTTTAATTATTGTAAAAAATATTTATTTTTAATAGCATGTATGTTATATACACCTGATAAACAGTTATCGACAGCCTTAAAGTATATAAAGCCATTTAAAAGCAATTACTTGGGAATGAGGATGTCTACACCCGTTCATATATAGACATATATCAAATATCACCCACAGAGTAACCTCTTTTAAACGCTAATTAAGCAGCAGGTGTCAAGTACAAGGTTGGTAGTTTGGCAAAAGGGGGCCAAGAGTACAGATCTCGAAAGTGAAACGAACACGATGATTCGCACCCGCAGAGCCATTGAACATTTTCCATTCTATCCGATTTTCCCCTCGAGATAAGAATACCTTTTTCCGCCCTGATTTACGATCCACACAGTGATTTGTTGGCCTGCGCAATACAGTTATCTGAGTACCTGAGGGTCATTGATAAGTTGGGCAGGTAGTTGGTTCGCTTCAAATGTCTGGGATAATCCGATAATGGTGTGTGTGTTCAGCTGGGTATAAGAACCCAAGTTGAAAGGTCAAAGAGCAGCAGTCTTTAAGGAACCATTGCAACATGAACTACTCCACGTTGCAACACATTCTGATAGTTATACCTTTCCTGTTGTTTCTCATGGATATCTGTGAGTCCAGGCCTTGGTGGCCATCAAACGGAGCTGGCTATGATGCCAGTTTGGATCCCGTGGCCTGGTCAAGACCTTTTGCCCCCGAACAAGTGAGAAAAACGAGATATAATGTCATCGCAGAACCCAGAAGCAAGCATCGCCATCGGCAATCATCGAAACTTTGGTACCAAAAGCCCGTGACTTCGTATCCGCAACACTTTGTGAATGCAAAATACTACAAGAGATTCCTGAGAAGACGACAAAAACTGGCAGCACGTGAGAGATACGCACACTGGAGTCCATAGTCCCATATCATCCATAACCATTAGGTGCTAAGCAAATCTTTATATCTAGTAATTAGCATAATAAACAAAAGACTTAAGACACAAACGAGTCGGCTTTGTTTTTAGCTGGATTCGCTACGATTAGCAGGAGTTCTAAACTAGTTCACAAATATAACGTATATGACTCTTCAAACAAAATCTGGTCCCAAACAAACATTAACTAAGGTCATTGTGATTACGTTTCAAGACCAGCAACTTGGTAATCGCATGGGCAAACATGATGTAACTATCGTTAGGTCCAAGCTAAAGACCTGAGCAAACCCAACCCATTTGCACACACTCACTGGCTGAAAGACGAAAACCCATCCCAAAAGTCTAACAAAATTTTGGATGAATGAAAGTACAAGTATATTTGGCCAAGATCGCAGATCGCAGCCGTTGCTGGGCCCACACTTTGTTGACTTTAAGAATTAGCAACTCTTCGCACGAGCCCAAGACCCAGACCAGAAGTATATAAACCTAGTTGACATGGCACTTGGTATTAAGTACCAATCCAGCTAGCATCCATTAATCAGCTATCTACAATCAGCTATCTTAAACCACAAAATGAAGTTCCTTGCTCTGAGTCTTGCCCTGATCGCCGTCATCTCCTGCTGTTTGGCCCTTCCATTGGATCTGGAGAATGGTGAACCACTGACTTTGCTGGAACTGGAGGCGGAACAGGATCCCCAGGTGGATGAGCTGGAAGGCGAACGTGTGGTCCGAGGACTGGGAGGTCTGGGCGGACTTGGCGGCAAGTTTGGCGGCTTCGGAGGACTTGGTGGCCTGAAGGGAGGATTCGGTGGTTTGGGACACGGCTTTGGCGGTGGCTTCGGTGGACATGGCTTCGGCGGCGGCTTCGGTGGACTGGGCAGCTTCAAGAGCCTCTTCAACAAGAAGTTCCGTTAATGTAACAGCAACAAAATTAGTCTAAGTCTAGAATTTTCATAATAAAGTCTGGTTAAGTAATGTTAAAAGTTTCCCGTTTGATATATGGGATTCAGAGCTCCATAGAACTGCAGTTCTGGTTTTGGTGTACTGGTGGTAATACCCATCCTGGTCTTAACGGTGGGTGGTGGTGCAGTGGGTGCTTTAAGCTGAAAACGACTGAAGACCATGCGCACTTGACTGGCAAAACTACGCCATAGTTGAAAGTGTTTGGGAACTGTAAAAACAATTTGTGTAAAAAATTAAAAAAAAGAATTACAAAAAACATTCATTAGAGGAGAATTTTGCATTTAAAAAGGTATGCTCACAATATCTAAGAAATAAATTACATCTTAAAAGTCTTATACCAAACAGTCTTAATCTGTTGTCTAAGTCCTTATTCTTAAGCCACATAAGTTTTATTTTGATACGTTCGTTGTTTTTATGGAATACTCATCTTATTAAGAATTTTTTCATAACCAATAGTTCAAAATAAATACCAAAATAGTTTAGTTTCAATAACTAATTTTTTTGGCTGTAAGAAATATTGAAAAACAACATTTTTTACGATTTCAATTCATTCCCTTGTAAATCTTAAAGCAAGTCTTGTATTTTGGGTATAACTTATCCAATGAAGACTTAATAAGAAGACTTAATAATAAAATGCTTTAGTGCCTTACCCAAACTTGTAGGTGGTGCCACCTGTGGATCGAATTCCCGCTCATCCAGAGCTACAACTAGCACCACAGTGATCCACAGCAGCAGCAAGCGGAACATTTTGCTAGCACAACCGCGCTGCCCTCTTATAAACACCTCCAATCGTAGCTTTCCCCCGCCATAAAGTCAAAGTGTTATTTGTAAACCATAAGAAATCACCGATCGAATGGACTTGCATAAGGTAGTTAATTTTATTGCACCCAATGGGGCAGTACAAAAGAAGTATCACAAAATGGGCAACGAAATTCAGCTCAGCCAGCTCAGTTAGCCATAGAAGCCACCGCCGTAGTAGCCACCGCGTCCACGGTAACGGGTACGGGTGACCACTCGAGTTCTCTGGAAGCCACCGCCGAAACCGCCACCGAAACCACCGCCGTAGTACGGGTACGGTGGTGGAGGTGGGCCAAAGAAGGGTGGTGGTGGTGGTCCAAACGGTGGTGGTCCAAAGTACTGGCGCACTTTCCTCACGCTCTCATCTCCGGAATCCGCCTGTGCAGTTTCTCCAGCCTCCAAAAGCTGCGGTTCCTCCTCAATCACTTCCGTTTCCGTTTCATCTGCTCTTACAAAATCGCACAAGAGCAGTGCTGCAGCAATGATGAAGAAAAATAATATCCGCTTGTAATCCATTTCGCTGAATGTATTCCTTGTCAGACTTCGTCAAATACTACAACTTATCGCCCAGCTGGTCTTTAATTTATAGCCAAACATTTGCCAAGAACACCCAGCACCTGGTCTCATAAACAAAGGAGGTTCATTGGCATTTCGTTGATTGCCATTGAATGTCTTTTTTTTACATTTTTCGTCTAATTTCAATTTTTTGCCAAGCAAAGCCGGCGAGAATAATTATTGGCTTGAGAAAAAAACCCAAAAATAAAGTCTACACAAATACATTAGGTTGACCCAATCTTAATGTGTTGATGAAATGATATATAATGCGGAAGTTTGAGTAACAGTGGTACAACATCTAGTTCGTTGAGGATTGTGTAGCATAATATGCATCTGATTTAAAAGGTAATATCGTTAATATGGATTTGTATCCAAGCTGGAATAATTAAATTGAAAACTAAACACTTCATGAAACGCTGTTAGAAAATATGTTTTTTAAAGTTGTCAAATCATTAAAAGGCCAAATGGTTTATGGTTTAAATAGCAGGAATAAAAAGAAATTACCAAAAAAATCTTCGGCAAAGCCTTAACCCTAACCTAACCAACTAAAATGATTACGAATTAGGAATACGATTATCGAGTATCGAATTGCTCTCCAAGCCAGCCAACTTGACCCACTGTAATCGCTCGATGGCTTGTTGTTTACCACTCGAAAAGCCCATCCGCCTCGCCTCGCGCGACTTTCGGCATATATATTAAAGCAAACACCAGCGAGAAGAGACTCTTCCAGAAATATCCACAGCTCAAACACAACCAGTTGAAAATGGAATATATGCAAGCTCATCGAATCTGTTGATTCCAAACACTGGGCAAACCGAAACTCGATCTCGCAGCACTTTTGTTTATTCATTGTTTACACTAGAGACCCACTCAGACTTATTCGGAAACATCTAGCCGAAGAAACCGCCTTTGAATTTGGCAAAACCCACAGCGCCGCCGACGAAGCCACCTCCTCCAACGCCTCCAATGCCACCAAGTCCACCAAGTCCACCTAATCCTCCAGCTGCGGGATATACTCCTCCATAACCATTATAGCCATAACCATAACTAGGAACAGTTTGAATGCTGGAAACAACGGGAACAGTGGTGATTATGGGCACGGTGGATACAATGGGTACGGTTTAAATAGCGGGGGCTGCTATAATGGGGGCAGCTACTCCTCCTCCTCCTCCAATGATTCCGCCACCCACGATTCCGCCACCTACGACTCCACCACCCCCGAATCCTCCAATGTGCCGGGGCTTTCTAACACTTTCCTGGAGAAGATCGCTGCTGGAGAGGATCGGTGTTGTGCTGACCAAGGCGCACGCCAAAACGAGCAGGTAGACCGTTTGCCACAACATGATGAGTTAAACTATTTGGTCTGCCCCACTCCCAGCTGCTTATTTATGCAAATTAATTAGTGGCCACTGTTTGCACATCCAATTGGCATATAGTTGGGCGCCGGGGTAGAAAAAACCCCAGCTCTGTTTGGGCGGTTCTAATAAGGGAATTTTGGTTTTTGGTTTTTGGTTTTGCCCGATGGTCAGTGGTTCACACTTCATCATCGTCATCGTTTTGGGTCTGAAGGTCGCTTGCTTGGGGCATTAAAAACCAGGCGGTTTTGGGTAACGTAACACAAATCGTTATTCGACACTCAGCTAAGATGAAGTGTGATCTGCAAGTGCCACTTATGCTGTTGCTGGGAATTAGTGCTTGGAGGACTGCAGCTCATTCCCTGGGAGGAGGAGGAGGAGTTGGAGCTGTTGGAGGAGTGGGAGCCATTGGAGGAGTGGGTGCCATTGGAGGAGTGGGTGGTATTGGAGGAGTCCAGCCCGTTCCAGTCATCCAGCAAGTTCCAGTCGTTCAGCAAGTGCCCATTGTGCAACAGGTGCCCGTCATCCAGCAACAACAGCCTCAGGCTCTGGGACTCGTAGGAGGAGGTGGATTCCTTGGCGGCGGAATCGGAGGAGGAGCCGGCTTTGGACGCTATAAGGAAAGCTATCGTGTACGAGCACGGGGCTTTGGGGGTGGATACCGCGCCCGGTACGACAAAAAGTTCGGAGAAGGATTCGCTGGATTTGGAGCTGCTGCTGGAGCAGGAGCGGGTGCAGTGGGTGGCGGTCTACTGGGATAGATATTAGTAAATAATGTAGAGAAATTGCCAAATAAATACAAGTTAATACAAAACAAACAATAACTTTGTTGTTATTTAAAAGTAACTAGTTTTTTTTTGTTTTTATTATTTGAAATTTACATTCTGATATATTTCAAAATCGTAATTCTAATAAATAAATGAGAAAATAATTGCAATCTCAGCAATTAAAAATGTTTGAAAAATTTATCATTTAACATATGTAACTTTAACAGATTACAACTAAACACCCTGTATTTTTCGCGCTCTGGATTTTCTGCTGACCTGCGCAGTTTCCACCCCCAGAAAAAGGAAAAAAAGTCCCCTTGGCGCTCTGTGTTCTCACACTTTTGGGCTTCCCACTCTCTGGTGGTGCATTTGATTCCATTCATTTCCTTTGTCGCTCCAATTACTCTATGTCTTTTGGTCACTTGGCTCTTTCTCTCTTTGACAGAATTTATGTCTTCTCTGCTGTGACTCTTTTAAAAAAAATTTCTTTTGAACTTTTTGTTTTGTAAATGCAAGCCTATGCAAGGGGTAATGTTCAGTAACATACGACACATTACAAGAACAATTATCCAATTACACTTTCTTTCTTCTTTTTATCGATATTCTCTACTGATAAGACCAATGAAAAATTAAATTAAATTAGGTGTATCAAATCCATATTTTCAATCCATTAAAGTTTTTGATTGTTGTGGTATGGTTTCTGTATAATTTTAGCTTAAATTCTTTTTTTATCTTGAAAACAGGATTTTTGAACACAATTACAGCATGATTTGAATAGTTTTCGAATGTTTGGCTTTGATGAAGTACATGGCAGAAATAATGTATTATTATTCTGATGCCTGAGATTAGATATTAAAATGCACTGTTTTGATAAGCTTAAGCGCTGACACTAAGAGAAAACTTAAGAGTAAGAAGATGCGCTCTTTGGGAAGAGATGCCGACCAAAGAGATTTGGGAAATGGTCTTGGCAGTCGCCTCGATGTCCAAATGAATTCCTGAAACTAAACGTTTTTCTTTGCCCGTCGTGTGCAGTTGCTTCCGCTCCCGTTATTCGCCGTTCTGGGATTCCCGCTGGCGGACTCTAGAGACTATATCACCTTGATTATCTTTTTTGGAAAATGTGAACTCCCCCAAGAATACAAAGTGCAACCCAAATAACGGTTAACTTAGCTAGTGCGCAATATTAGTGGCCTAAAAATAGCAAAGAAAATATTAGCGAAAATAGCAGACATGCCGTTTTGTTGTTGGGCCTCTGTGTGCGCGTGAGTGTCTGCGAGTGAAGTGGAAATTTAAAAATAAAACAACGCTGGGACACAATTGAAATTTATTGGCCAACTGCCCAGAAAAACTCCAGGTGATAACCACTAATTTAAATGATTCTTTGTCTTTTCTTCTGTGGGCCAGATTTTGTTGTTAATCAAATTCTCTGGGGAAAACTTTCAACGCTCTCTCAGATAACTCTCTCCTCTCTGTGATTTCACACTCTCTCCCTGATTTCTCTTAAAACACCGCTGTTTTCAGTATGACCAAACTTCATTTTAGGTTTGATTTAAAGTAGGTAGTGCAAGTACTTGCTACTACTTTTCAATTTCCCTTAAAAACAAGTGGGATTTGGGGGTGTTAAAGACCTGGTACCTGCCTTATCTACTTGCCACAAGGACTGTCATTGTCTACCCATCCACTTTCACAATTGTCAGGCCACAGGCAACGTCATTATTTCGCTTTTCGCTAGACCTCTTGGCCTGTCTCGGCTTTCCTCGGCGTAATTAGTGTAATTGGGGCCAAGCTTGACTCGATTTCTTGGCTTCTGCTTGTCATTCGCTTGATTGGCAACAGTAATAGTTGCACATGCAACACCCCCTTCGAAGAATTTCCTTGAAACTACAGTAAAACAGTCTAAAGTTAAAACTTTGCTGAAACAAAAGTTCTGTAACTAAAATTAACGACAGAACTTTGTTCGATTCGGTCTCCATAAACTAAGCTCCATAAACTAGTCTTTACTTTTGAAATTGATTTGATTTGATTTAACTTAAATTTTAATATTTATTTTGTTTTTTTTAATAATTTTATTGGGCATTCGGTGAAATTCAAATGCTGTCTTTTGAACAAACTATATTAAAAAAAAACTTTAAAAAGTTCCTATAAAAATATCATACATTTAGAAGTGGGGTATATTTGTAAATACAGGTTTTATATTTTTAATTCAGCTAAAAATTTAAATTATATTAAAAAAATAACAAAAAGTTGCCTGACTTAGGAAGTTAAAGTAAACTTTTAAACGTGACTCTTTGTCACATAAAAATCTTTAAGAATATATGTAATTCCACACACAAAACCATTAAAAAAAAACATGTGTTTGGACATTCTGGTGGTAGTTTAAACAATAGCAGTTACCCTGATGTTAAAATTGCACCACCCCCTGGTATAAAACACTCTCAAAAGTGGCTGCAACCCTCGGATCCCACGCACTGACGTCGGTGCAACTCACCCTGAGAACTGTTTGTAGTTCGGGCTTTTTGTGTACTGAGTGGCTGTGTGTACCGACGAGTATGTAGTTCAAGGTCGTTGGACAAGTTCTGTCCGCTGACTAAGATGTGTGTTGGTGGTCCCATTACCTTATCCATATGAAGAAGCTGAAACTTGAGACCCCGGTGGCAAGTTGAAGGACATGTGAATGCCCCACTTGAGACGCTATTCTTGGGCTCCAAAGAGTCCATTCAGTTGACACTAATCACAGCCCACGTCAGCTCCATGAAAAACGTGGCACTAATGAGTAGCGGTCATGCAACGTGTTGGTGACCCCTTGGAATGTGGCACCTGGCCAAGGCTCCTCCTCCTCCACAGTCAGCAAAACAGCAACAGGAAGCGCAGTCATTGAACAGTTAATGGAGTGCAGATTGCAAAAAGGGGCGCCAACATTCCGGGCCACTGGGCAGACGAAAGTGACCAAAAATCCAACGCCTGCTCTCTAATCAACTTGCCCCCTGGCCAGAAGCCAATGGCCAATAACAGCGGATGCCCCACTTGGCCGGGCTTAATGTCAGCTAATTGCACTGGCCGGGAGCTCTTTTCCTCAGACTAAGCGTCGTCAGTGGGCTCCCCAAAGTCCCCGACTCCGGCGTATCAAGTTCAATGGGGCGCAAACTGTTGTTATGGTAACAAAGCAGTGAAGCTTCTTTTAGATGAACTAGCTGTAACTAGCAAGAATACTATTATGCTTCTTTATATAAAATATAGCTATATTGCATAAGATTTACTAAGCACAATATAATAATTATTAACCAAAATTATAAAACAGCTACTATATTATAAAAATATACAAATCTTCTTATTAAAGGCAAAAAATAAAGTTAAAACTATGGTTATCTTTGGTACCATAAATACAAAATTATATTTAAGTTTTAGAATTGCTTTAACCAGTTATTAGGGAAATTAGTTTAATAACTTTCCGTTAAATTACTTTTTGTTTTTGGCTGTGCCACATAGCAAATTAACTTATAGAAGTAGGACTGTTTGTTAATAACCGAAACAGAGCTTGGTGTCCTTTGTGGCGAGTGACGTAAACTAAGCCTTTGGAGGAGAGGGGGCAGGATATGGTGTTTATGGTTGTTGGTCGGTGGGTGGCTTTTTTTTGTGGGTGGCAGCCTTGGGCCGTGGAATTATCATTTGGCTTTCGCCTGGCCCCGCTTGCCCCCCGTTGACATGTTTATGCGCAAATTTGTTGTTAAAGTCTCATATCGATTTTGTTAACTCGATTATAGGAACAGAGCAAAAAGGATAAATTGTTGGGGATAAGCAAGGACAGTGACTCGTCGACGGTTGTGTGACATGCTAGCAGCAGTTATGGCATCGGACATCAACTGGGATCCAGGTGAGTGACGCACTAGAGCTGTCCAAAATGATTGATTAACCATTGGCGCACTTTTTGCAGCTCTTTCTAAATTGATCACCACGCTCAAGGAGTCGGAAAACCTGTCCAATGACCAGGAGATTGACTTTCTGAAGGCCTTGCTGGAGTCCAAGGAGCTAAATGCCCTGGTCAATGTCCACACGAAGGTGGCCAAGGTGGGGCGGGATGATCGTTTGGCTCCCGTGCTCTCCACCTCCGCCCAGGTGTTGTATGAGGTCCTGGAGCAGCTGTCGCAGCACTGCCACCTGAACGACGACTGCAAGGAGGCCTTCCACCTACTGCAGGACTCTCACGTCCAGGTGAGTTCTTAAATCGGAAAATAATACAATTGAGTCTTCCCTTAAGCCTACATCTGCCACATCTGCTATCCATTAAAAACACAATTTTCTAATTAATTGATTGATTGATTTCAGCACCTCCTGTTTGCCCACGATGCCATTGCCCAGAAGGACTTCTACCCGCATTTGCCGGAGGCGCCTGTCGAAATGGACGAGGATGAGGAGACCATCAAGATTGTGCAGCTGGTGAAGAGCAACGAGCCCCTGGTGAGTGTGCATTTCCAGCTGGACCATCACTTTCCCATGCCTATCTCATCTCGCCGTGATCGCTGTTCTGTGCTGTCCATCGCTTTCCACTGTCCACTCTCGACTTTCATTTCCGACCTCTCAACCCCCACTTTCACCACCCTCCGCCTCCCCCTTTCGCCTTTGCCAACTGCTCTTTCTCTTTGCGCCTTCATTCATTTTCGTACTTCTACTGTAATCGCCTTCATGTCAACTCTTCCCAATGCTAATCAATTTTGTAAACTTTGCCTTTGTTAAAATCGAATGAAATCGAATCCAATTTCTCGAATTCGTCCATAACAAACAAAACAAAAATGCATTTGCAACAAACAAACATAATATAAAATCGAAAAATGTAAAAAAAATATAAAAACACAGACAGGAGCACAGAGTGCGGAGCCAATTGTTGTAAGTAATCGAATGTCCATAGCTGTACAAAATGTCCACTGTATGTTATAATAAAAAAAAAAAAAACAAACAGAAACCCGTTTGCCAAGCACCAAATACAACAAATAACAAAAGATACATAACATACATTCCGTTGTCCTCATTCCTTTGTCGTTGTTGTTGTTGTTTTTGTGACACATACATCAGATATATATATAGACATCCAGAACATCGGAAACCTCACTTCACACAGATACACACTCGCACACAGAGGCACACACACGCACACATACGCACTTTGGGTTGAATTTCTAGTGATAGCTATTGCCTACTTTTAGGGGGCCACCATTAAAACGGACGAGGAAACGGGCAAGATAATCATAGCGAGAATCATGCACGGCGGAGCTGCCGATCGATCCGGATTGATACACGTCGGCGACGAGGTCATCGAGGTCAACAGCATCAACGTGGAGGGCAAGACGCCAGGCGATGTGCTCACCATATTGGTAAGTATTAGATTTTAAGTGAAATTTATTATTTATTGTTAAATTATGGCAAATTTTAAAAAGTGCTTAATAATCTGTTTAAGACTTAGAACAATTAATTTTCTATTAATTTTGATATTCATTTTTTTAAATCTCACCTAAGCCTTTAAAATCATACCCATCTAATAACTAAATCCCTTTCCTGCAGCAAAACTCTGAAGGCACCATTACCTTCAAGCTGGTCCCAGCGGACAACAAGGGCGCCCAGCGCGAGTCCAAGGTACGGGTGCGGGCCCATTTTGACTACAATCCGGATGTGGATCCCTATATACCGTGCAAGGAGGCGGGCCTGGCCTTCCAGCGTGGCGATGTGCTGCATATTGTGGGCCAGGACGATGCCTACTGGTGGCAGGCGCGCAAGGAGCACGAACGCTCGGCGAGAGCCGGTCTGATTCCCAGTCGGGCGCTGCAGGAGCGCCGCATCCTCCACGATCGATCGCAGAAGGATGGCGTTGATTTGGACTTGAAGCGTAAGCATCCTCGGGCTTGCCAACTCATTGCACCCATTACATTGTCCATCCGCATGACTAAAATTGCTCTAATTTCATGATGCATCGCAAATACCCGTCATCCAATCCGCAATTGAACCCATACATCACCCAACCAACCATTGTCATCGCCAGCCGGATCATGCGCCTCACTCTGCACCACCCCACCTGGTTCCCCGCGTCTGCCTGCCAGCAGCAGCAGCTCCTCCTGCCGCCAGCCCAAGACTAAAAAGATCATGTACGATTTGACAGAGAACGATGACTTTGATCGCGAGCAGATCGCCACGTACGAGGAGGTGGCCAAGCTGTATCCCCGGCCAGGTGTCTTCAGGCCCATAGTGCTCATCGGAGCTCCTGGCGTGGGTCGCAACGAACTGCGCCGTCGGCTGATAGCCCGCGATCCCGAGAAGTTCCGCAGCCCAGTGCCGTGTAAGTATTACTCGTGAGTGAAAAAAAATGAATGAACAATTAACAGTGGTTCGATTTAGTGGATGAACTTAAATTAACATCTCAAACAATAAACGTTACCTTTTGTAGACACCACCCGACCAATGCGCACTGGAGAAGTGGCCGGACGTGAGTACATCTTTGTGCCGCGTGAGAAAATGGATGCGGACATCGGGGCGGGAAAGTTTGTGGAGCACGGCGAGTACAAGGGTCATTTGTATGGAACGTCGGCGGAGAGCGTCAAGTCAATCGTGAACGCGGGATGTGTTTGTGTGCTGAGTCCGCATTACCAGGCGATCAAGACTCTGCGCACGGCCCAGCTGAAACCGTTCCTCATCCACGTGAAACCACCAGAGTTGGACATCCTGAAGGCCACGCGAACGGAGGCCAGGGCCAAGTCCACCTTCGATGAGGCGAATGCCAGGAGTTTCACGGACGAGGAGTTCGAGGATATGGTCAAGTCGGCCGAACGCATCGATTTCCTGTACGGACACTTCTTCGACGTGGAGCTGGTCAATGGAGAGCTGGTCAGCGCCTTCGAGCAGCTCGTCCAGAATGTCCAGCGGCTGGAGAACGAGCCCATATGGGCGCCATCCATGTGGGTGCAGTAGGTGTACCATAGTACTATGCCAAAACAATGTGGAGAAGCATTTCATGCAATTTGTTAGACGACAACAACACCAAAGTATTTTTGCCATACGAATTTAGCATACGAATCTGCTAGAGAGACGGAGGAGGAGGAGAGACACTATTTACCCGTAGGCGGTCCTGCTGGGCACTCCCGTCCGGCCTTAGTCCTTTTCACGACATGTACCTTTTTGCGTCACAGTGAAAACAAAGAAATGAATACAATAATAGACACACACACACACAAAGAGAAGGAAATTTAAACTCAACCAGCATCTATCTTACAATTACGATAACAATTAAATTCTAAAAACTTGTTGTACAAAATTTATTTGTGTTCAAAAATGGACTAAATTATAAATGTATTTATTACACGTTGTTGAAATCAAAGAACAGAGTTAATCCCCCCTGTAACCCTAATGCTAACCGTATTGTATCTCGATTGTATATACACTCACTCACTAACTAGAGCATATTGGATACAATCTCAATTTCTGTGTAACATGTCTCATTTCGAAAACTGATTTCATCAAAAACGTAGTGACAAATTGTTGAAAACAAGTGAGAATTATTAATAAAAACCTATTTTAAATGCCATTAAGAGAGCGAAGCGTTGTTTCTAAGCTAGACTTTGGATAGGCTATATTACATTTATTTGGGATAGAGAAGACGTAAACACAGCATTTTTTGGGCAGCACATTTTTGTCGACATATTGACATTCTCTCACGTACATACATATATTTATTTATATATATTCTGTCACTTATGTTAACCTATGGCAAATATGTAAATTTAGCTTAGGCATATGAAGTCTATCCAGGATATATTGTTCAGTTTCCTTGATTGTTTTTTTTTTATTTGCATTCGATTTAAAACTTATCTGGATCAAATTGCCTACACTCAGAAAAAATAGCTTGATTTTTGGATAATTATTTAATATGGCATTAAAAATAAGCCCTTTTAAATATTAAGGAAAAATAACCTTAAAGTTTAACTAAAGTAATTATTAGATCATATTTTACATAATTTATATAGTAGACTGAAATTTGAAATTAAGGAAGTTTTCCTAAAATCAAGGAATTTTTGCATTTCTGAGTGTGTGAAATGAAAATATTTTATTTGCTTTGGTCATAAAAATGTTCTTATAAATTCGGTCATATTATTCGTATTTAGAAAGTTTCGTACCTAATATGGCTCTAGAAATTTCACGACTTGAACATTTTCATTTCATAGGATTTTTGATTCAGGTGAAGTAATATATTCTTGAGTGTGAAGACAACGACTAATTTCACATCTACCCAGATAAGTGGATCAGGTACGATATCCCGCCAAACCCCCTTACAGCTATAGTTGCGATTTGGTGCCGGATCGGGAGACACTTAGTCCGTAGAATTGGGCCAGTCTTCTGGCCTCCCGCCATCCCGCCTCGACTGCTCCGTGAACTGTGGAGTAGAAATGCTCACTGGAGGCCTCGCCGGCAAACTGGACAATCGGTCTATCGCAGCGACTCTGCTGCCACGCCTCCTCCTCCTCCGCAGCCTTCTCCTTCTCCGGCGTGGTGGCCACCACTGTGAGGGGATGGGCCAACTCTCGAGCTCCGGTGCCCAGTTGCTCCGTGTCCATGGATCGATAGGAATAGGAGCCACGGAAGTTTTCATTTGTGTGCCAAGCGGAAGTGCGGAAATTGGAAGGCTCTGGGATTTTCCACTTGAGGAACCTTCGGAAGAGGTACATCACACCCGATTGAACCTCATCCGCGGGCAGGATTTCCATATGCCGGCCACTTTCATTGGTGATCCAGCCGGCCAGGACCCTAGGCTGATAGCTTACCCTGTAGAAGCCGAAGACTTCCTCCAGCCAGGATCTTGAGGTTCCACGAATATCATCTAGGTCCTCTTCCCGCCAAAGCAGGGTGAAGCCCGTCCAATCCTCGGGCCAAAAAGCCTCGGGAAACTCCACAAAGATCTTGTTGACCGTGCCAAAGGCCAGGCCATCAATGGCGCGTTGTTTCTCCACGGGAAGCTGCGGCTCAAACAGCCTGAAGTGCTGATCCTTGAGAACGCCCAGTGAAACGGTTATGACAACATGGTCGGCAATGCAGTTGTCTCCATTGCTCAGCTGCAGCTCCACACGTCCATCGTTGCGGTTCCAGTTGATCTTCAAGACCCGAGTGGCTAGCAGTAGTCGCTGCTCCAGAACTCCTTGCTCCACTTTCAATTCCCGTGAACGCATGAGGAGCCTCAGCAGCTCCACATAGCCTTTGTCCTTCCAGTTGAGCAGGATGTCGCCCTCGCACTCCCAGTAGTCCAGATAGCCCCTGCCCGAAACTTGTTCCAGGGTATCCGAAGCCTCAACGGAGTTCTCGAACTTCTGGTAGTTAACAAAGAACTCCCTGGCCACCTCGGCGTCTATGTCGGAGTTTTCGGGACGCCGGAGAGTATCATAGAATTTGTTGGTCAGGTAGCTGCCCAAGGAACCGCTGCAGTGGCGCAGCTCCAACTGTCGGGTGACCAATGAATCACCCACAATGGCCTTGAGGCGACTGGCCACCTGTTCGGCCACCACCTCTCCATTGGACCTCACGCACTGGTAGTTCTCATACACCGGACCCGTGGACTCCAGCAGCTCCTCATCTGCCTTGCGAGTGATCTCATAGACCAGGTTATCCCTTTCGCCGTGACACCATTGCGCTCCGAGATCGATGACATTATCGGCAAAGGGAATGGTGTGGATGCGACCACCCAGACGATCCTCCGCCTCCACCACGAGCACATTCTGGAAGCCCAGCTCCAGGAGCTTGGTGGCACAGGCCACGCCCGAGGCTCCCGCTCCGATGACGACGATCTTGCGATCCAGATTCCGCTGTGCGCCACTCATTCCGGGTAACTGAATCTGTTTCTGCAAGTAAAGGGGTTGTCGAGAAACAGGAGAAACGCAAATTAATGCACAAACAGCTTGGGTTTGCAAAGGCAAATGTGAGCAAGTGGGTCGGTGACAATTGTCCATACACTCAGCAAAAAAAAATATCTATAGTCTTCAAAAAAAGTATGTGACTTTTACCACTCTAAGAATCTACCTTTGGTTTGGTATTGTTTGTTTAGGCTTATTTAAATTTGTATTTGCTTTAGCTTATTAAAATCGAGATTTCTTTTAAATAATTTAAAAAAAAATTAATTTATTGACTTTATGACATTAACATTAAAAGTACTTTCACATAAGCTTGAAATTTCGTAACTTCACTGGTCAAATTTCAGAAGCAAATTATAATTATTGCTTATAGTTTACCAAATTGTTTTTCAAAATTGCCAAAAAAAAAATCGCCTTTTTGTTTACGCTTTCACTTCTTACTTTTAAAAATAGCATAGAAACAGATTTCGCAATGTATGTATGTTTTACCTATTATATTAAAAGCAATAAAAAGGTAGTCTATATTAAATATTTACACAAGTAGAGACATTGTAGACACCTGTTTGAATGATGTTGGTTTAAGCAATAAAATTGTTTTAATTTTTCAAAGATTTATTGATGATTTTTCTAAGTGCACACAGCGATTTGTTTATGGAATTGCCACTTGAGTTTTAACACCGCCCACTTTCCCCATTATAATAAAAAAAATGTCTTTTCATTAAAAGTAACGGCATAGTCGCTCATCTGTTTCGATAACGAATTCCTGTCCGCAATTCCGACTTTTGATAAGAGTTTCGAAAAAGCTCCCCCCACCAACACAAAAACCCCAAGAGCAACACATTCGTCCAAAGGAAAACCACACATGTGTACAAACACGTACATAAATATGTTCGCTCGCTTCTGGCTACATGAATTTATAAATAGCCACAGTAGCCAAGGGAAATCGGTGGCGAAAAGGAAAGGAAGGGAGGAAAATTCGCAAAAGGAGTATCTAGTGTCTAGCCAACCGGACCAGCTGGTTTTACCTGAAGTTCACCTGAAATCTGTGTTTTTCGACAACGAGAGGAGATGGGAAGAAAAGGGAAAGCGGCTTCCGCCTCCTTCACTTTGGCATTGATTTTATATTTTTGGCCAACAAAAATGTTCAAGGTTTTCTGCCACAAACAATAGTACAAAAAATATCGAAGAAGAAATGGAATTTTTTTGTCACTTTTTGGGGGTGATAATGAAGAATAAATTCACTTCACTGCACACTCCACTCACCAAAATAACTCGAAAACCGTTTAGCCGTATTTATTCAACAATTTAACATTTCTACCGGAAAGTTTACCAAATATACTATATATTTGCAGCAAGAAAAACTCCAGCTTCGCGGAAAATGCAAACAAAACTGAATGCCGAAAACCGAAAACATCACATGGAAACGTGCGGTTCTGCCCGTGTGCTTATGCTGTGAGCAGTGGTGTAGTACGGATTTCAAAGGGGGATTATGTACTGGTATATTTAAATGTACCCCCTCGAGAACGCCGCTGTGCACTCTGCGCAGACTGCAAGCTCCCCAAAAGCTCTGGCCAAAAGCACCCAACACAGCTGAGTGAGTGGGTAAATCGAGTGGGTTGCCGAGTGACTTGGGGCATTGAGAGAAAATGGGAAAGGGCCTGGCTTCCCTGCCCAAATGCACAGAGAAAAATTGACTAAGAATGTATATTTTAAATTAAAAACTTATATATATTGCGTTTGTTGTAAAGCCCTTTATTTTCTAAAAAATTTAAAGTTTATTGACTAAAAACTAAATAGCTTTCTCTGATAAAAAAAAAAAATTAATTAAAAAATATTGCGTTCCTCTTCTTTTAAAATCTTAATGAAAGAAAAAATTTAAGTTATATAGACTGAAAACTTTATACGTTTCTTTCGCAATAGGGCGGCCTCGAACTTGTTTTCTGATTGATTTATAGAGTGTTAGTTGAGAGACAAGAAGTATTGATTTCAAAATTTATAAAAAAAGAAAAACATCTAATATCAAAACCTTTTCGTTTTTTAAATACTCGGTCTAACATAGTTATATTTCTCAAATTTATAGCCTTCCATTTTATATACTAGTTTCAAAAATACATTTTTCCTCTGTGCACTAATTACATATTCATCTGGGCACCCCTTAAAATGATTCTCATTTTAGCTTTCAATGATTAATGCAATTTATGTATATATATATATTTACTTCAACTGCATACAAGTTTTTGCTAGATTTGGTTAAAGGAATTTCCTAAGACTCTTCGTTAAATAACTCGTTTGATATTGGTAGGTCCATTTTCAGTATATATGCAGATATATCCTTCGATGTATGTACAGGTCAGTTGCAGTATCCTTTGGCCAAATCGGGAATGACAGAAATCTGGAGCACTTGGTATATTAAGTAGTTAGTTGTCTTTTATTACCCGCCTACATTGACTTTACATGATCATCTGTCCGTAGCTTTGGAATTACATTAAATATATATATGTATGTATAGAGGCTGGTAATAAATCTGGTTAAAATTTTTCCACGTGTATATACAGCAAGGGAGTTAACTTGGAATATGCTGATAATTCGTTTAAATAAATACTATTTGATTTGCTTTAAGGGACCGGAATTAAAAACCAAGCCATGTTATAAATAAATCTAATTTACACTAAATATATAACCGATTTTTGAAACATAAGCGAAAGCAATTACAAAATAATAAACAAAATTATCACAAACAATAACAGCCCGGATAGGATGAGAATGGCGGCCCATTGTCGTTTATCTGTGGGGAGAAATTAAAAAAAAAGTTATTTGATTTAATTATATACGAGAATTTAGGAGCAATAGGCTGGTAATTTTGATTTAGAATTACTGATTTATGAGGTCCAAATAATAATAATAGTAAATAAAATATTTTTTGTGGCCCCCCTTGTAATATTTTTAAGAACATAACTTATTAAAAAAAATCCTTTTTCGAACCTTTCATTCGTAATTAGTCATGTTGCATGAATCAGTAATCCCACATTCGAAATTCCCAGCTAAGTGCCCCTATAACGCACCACTCACCATTATTCATGTGCAAGACTTTGGCAACTTTCTTCATGGTGTTGTCCAATTTGGACTCCGTGGTATCGAACTCGTTTCCGAAGTCATCCAGCATCACGGCCTGTTCATCGAGTTCCACGCCAATTTGCCGCGATACCGTCTTCAGAATGCCAATCGAATCACTGATCATATCCAGCTGCTCATCCTGACCCTGAATCATGCGCTGCTGTATGGACACCGTCTCGCCCACATACCTATGGCTCGGACTGTCCATGCCGCCGTGATGCGTCTGCCCGTAATGACTGGGACTATCCAGGGCATTCTCCAGCTTGGAGTACTTGGTGCCACTGTGGCGGGAAGCTGCTGCCGCTGCGGCCGACATGGTTCCAGCAATCGTATTGGCCACCACCTGGCTGCCACTGTTGATCAGCGAGTTGCCGTTGATTATGCCACTGGGACACTCCACCAAATACGTGCGATCGTTGTGCGGATGCTGATGGTACTCGTTGGAATTGGAATTGGAGTTCGCGTTGGGTATGGCAATGGAGTGATTGTGATTGGGGCTATGCCGATCGTTGTCCAGTAGCGGCTGATGTGCGGTGATGTCTCTGTCCCTGCTCCGGTTCAGGCTCATCTTATCCTTCATCTGCTTGACCTCATCGCGCGTGTTGTCGATGAAGTGGCGCCGGCTGGAGAGTTCACGGTTGTCGATCCGAAACTTGCTCGGATTCTTCTCAACGATGCGTAAAGGATCAAAATTGTTAGGGTTAAGGAGGAGACCTTGGATAAATTGAGGAACCTTTTTCTTTGTAAGGAGTAACAGATAAATATAGCCGATTGGTCCGACTTTTACATACCCAGTACTCACTTTATATAATCAAAACTAAATGCTAAAAAAAATATAAAACTTTTCAAAACACAAAATATAGCAATATATATTAATATTATATGTAAAAATAAAATGTATCAGTAAATAATAAAACTGAAAGATAAAAAATCAATCTAAAAAAAATATAGAATACCTCAGAACTGTTCACAAAATATAAAAAAAAATTGTACCAAGTTCAATAAACTACAAATTATTAGTAAATAACAAAATTAAAAAAATAAAGGATTTAAATTATATGGTTTATATAGATTTATAGAAAGTTTGGCTTGTATTCGAATGTTATTCATACGTTATAGACAGAATTGAGTAAACTAATAAAGGAATGAAACTAACAGGAATGTTATTCAAAAGAATAAAAAAAAACGGACGTGTGCAAAATTTACTTAGAAAATCATAATTTCTCATTAAGTAAAGTGCAACCCTCTAGAACCCCTTGAGTACCGGGTAAGGAATTGATTTTCCAATGTATTGCTTTGCCAAAAAGGATATTGATAGTGTCCTCGAGGTCCTCGAGATCCCACTCGATGCTCCGGAGCGAGTTACGCAGCTCGGTGGTGGTCCATTCAGCCTCCGTTCCTCCACTTTCGCCCAACTCCCGCCAACGCAAATAGAGGCCGCGGGTTTTGTTCAGAGCTTTGAATACCTCGCTGCGAAGAAAAATAAGAAAAGTGAGTGTTATGGGGTTTTAGCCAGGAAAACTGCAGTTGCCATTATGGCCAGCGAATGGACCTACTCCTTGACTACGAAAAAGGGATCCTCCAGAGACATGCCGTGCTCAGTTCTTGGCCCAAAACGGAAATAAAAACTACTAGCAGTTTTTCACCAGCGTGGCGCACTTGACGTTTATTTTCATGGATTTTTCCGGGCGAAAAACCACCCCCAAAAATTGTAGGGGGAAAGTGCAAGTGCTAATGCCAATGGGGGTTACATCAAAATCCAATCGAAAAGGGGGGAATTTATGTTTTCTATTTTTCTCTATTTTTCGTTTAGCAGCAATTTCACAATCAACTGGGTTTTATCTTTAGCTAAGAGCGAAGTTTGCACGGCACGTTTATTGATTATTGCACTTGGGGCCGCGCCGTCTTATCGCCCGATTACTCTATAGATTCCGCCGATTTATCTGGTTCCGCCGATGGCCCAAAGAACACTGTCGTTATTCGCGCTCCGAAGGCTAAAACCCCCTTCAATGAACCATTGGCATTTGTTTACGCCGCTCTCGCGCCTGCGCATTGCCACCCAAATTTTGCTACCCCCTAAAAAAAACCCTTTTTGAAAACAACCCGAAATATGGCCAACGAATTCCACAACAAAAAAAAGTCGGCCAAAATGACAGCACTATTTTAATTCGTTGTCACTCACCTGCTGCTCGTCGCCACCTCATTAAGCAAACTACGATCCCAGAACACGGTGACTGACTCTAATTTTTAATATACACTACACAAATTTTGAAATCTTCCTTTTTATATTAGTTTTATTTTTGTTTTGGCTCAGAGCAAAATAATCCGTCAGACTTAGTATGACCTAAACGCGTTAGAGCATTTTGCTCAAATTAAATTTAGTATGTATCGTAAGAGCAGAAAGTACGATATTTTAGTGACTATATAATTTGCGGCAACTCTGGTTTTTTAAAATATTTAAACCTTGTAGTTTTTTGTTTAAGAAAACAGCAGTGGACAAAAAAAAGAATGGAAATTAGGAAAAACGTTTTTCAGCTTCAGCGCAACCCAAAATTTAAGAATACATAACTGGTTTAAAAGAGGTTGAATTTAAAGTTTATTTTATATTAGATTTTAAATTTTGTATGAATGTTTAAGGCTTATACTTTAATTATAATGTAAATTAAAATAAGCAAGTCTATTGAAGTAACCATTTTTGGTAAAGATAACTCTTGAATTTTACTATAAACACGCGAAGTAAAACATCTTGTAACATTCTTTACAGTCAAATCGTAAGACTTTCTACACCAAACAGTTTCCTAATTAGATTCCGACCATGATAAAAATTTTAAAGCAACCGCTAAGACCTTTTTCAGCCATAAAAAGTATTTCGTTTTCATTGTGCGACTGTCACACTGCACACCTTTGGCCGTTTTATTTAGACCGCTATCAAATAAGTTTGAAAAGTGCTTGCAAAATGTTGCAAAACGACGCGGTACGGACTTTGCAATATGATAGTGAGATTCGTGTGGCCCAGCAGCCAAGCCCCTCAGAGCCCAGAGGTAAATTTGGATTATATATAGTTTCGAATTAAAATGAAAACACTGAGTGAATCACCTGCGGACAATGGTAACTGCCTTGTTACCAACTGATAAGCGCTGCACCGGATTAATTATTATTGGCAGCGAGTGTGTCACAGTTCGACGCAAATATGCGGCAACAAGTCGGCTATATCTTATCGGCTAGCGTTTTGTTGTGGTCTCGATCTCCTTCCTCAAGTGCCTTTGTTTGGGGCGGTCGAACCTACTATAAAACACAACTTATCTGTATCAAATAGAACACATTTTTCTATTCCAAGAAAAGTAATAAAACTTTGTGGAAAAAAACCCAATATTATTTTTTGAAAAATTAAAAAATGAAAACTGCTTTTTCTTCTGATTGAAAATAAACGGTTTTTACTATAATACAATATATTTATATAATATTTAATAAAATAAAAATAATCGGGATTTTCTATACCATTTATACAGAAATACAGAATATTTCAGAAATTTATTTAAATTTAACCCTAGCAATAGTAAATATCTTATTTTATTGTTGTTAGTATACTTTAAGATCATGCATGAAACTTATTAGTTTAAAGTTTGTTTTATTAAAAATAGGTTGAACAACGATTTATTAAAACCTCTACCTTTTACCTTCAGTTTACGACTCCCATATCAGCATTACATCGCAGCCGCGGCCGGAAACTCCCCGGATTCCGCTGCCGATACCCATTGCCACAGTTACGGGCAGTAGGTCCTTTATTCCCCTTTCCGGATACGATTGCCTAGCGGATCTGCCATCCGTGCATATTGAACAGACCTTTGAGCTGAATGAGGGTATATCAAATCCATAAAATATTCCAAATCATTTCAGACCCAAGACTTCTTATTTTTTTGTTTTAGCTCTAACAGCAGTTTCTTCGGAAAATCGTTATGTGGTGCGATCTCCATTGGGCGATGCCATTTTCGCGGCCAGCGAAAGTTCCACAGAGAAAAGTCGTCTTTTCTGGGGAGCTGGACGACCATTTCAGATGCATCTCCTGGACAAAACCCACCAGGAAGCGCTGGTCTTCCGAAAGAAACTAGCCCTGGGATCACTCTGCTGCCAGCCGAAATGTCTGGAGATCTGGGTGCCACCGGGTAATCTGCTCGGACGAGTGGTGCAGTCACCCACTTTCATGCAGCCAGAGTTCTTCATCGAGGATGGAAGCACAGGAGAGCCCGTGTTTTGTGTGGAAGGTCCTCCCAGGTCTGGATTCTGCTGCTTTTGCCTGCAGAGGGAATGCTACTTTAGGGTAAGAATATTGAAAAATACTTCTAAAGCGATTCTTTTATGATATAATATTGTTTAAGTTTTAAATTTTAAATTAAAAACATAGCTTACGCATTTGTAAATCAAAATAACTTTTAAAATAATAGAAGTTTTTCAGCTAATGGAAATAGCAGTCGAAAATAGTTTGGAAGCAACTCTTCAAATCAATTTTATATTTTCTTATAGCTAATGCTATTTTACCCAAATGGGCAAATATTAAAATCACATTTTTTAAATATTTATTAAGTAAATTGATAAATAAAACTTATTCTTGTAATTTAAAAATATATCAGGTATTTCGGTATTAACTTTATTATTATCCAAGTGTTACAAGTATATTTAAAACTTTTTATTCCAATTCAACTTGCAGATGTACAAGAAATTAGTTTTCTTAACTTGTTATAAATTCGTTTATCATTTTCCTAAGAAAAATTATCCTATGCCTGGAAAGTTTGTTTTTAGGCACCTAAAATTACCATTGCTCTGTCAATTTTTGTCATTTAGTTAATATAACTAATATTTCCGTTTACTCTTACAGATTAATTCAGGTGGAACAATGAGGGCTTCCATAGACCATAAATGGCTGGCCAGCAAGTCTCAGTACACCACAAATATTTACTTCAGTGATACAAAGCTAACGGCCAAAGAGAGAGCCTTGATTTTAGGATCAGCACTTTTACTGGTAACTTTATTAACCAGCAAAATAAAATATCTAAATAACATTGAACCCTATTTCTTCCAGGAATATCTGTACTTCCAAACCCGATTCTAGACCAAACAACTTTAATAAACCTTGTATATTCACATTGATTTCTTTATTTTTGTCATTTTTTTTGTATAAGATTTTGTTTTTTTGTGTTGTGTTTTTTTTTTCAGTTTTTTGATATATTTTACAATAATGTAATAGATCACTTCATTTTCTTGTTGTTTAACCACATACATACATTCAAATATATATGGATATATATCTATGTGTATATATATACGTTGCTGCAGCTCTTGCCATAGCAGTTTGTACAATAATTTTCATTTATATCTATCAACTTTGTGTAGTTTGTTTGACTAACCTACCGCTTAATGCATATATGACAACATATTGATTATTTACAGTTAGCTATTCTTCATCATTTCGTTTCTCTTCTGCCAAATACAAAATTAAAACAAACAATTAAAAGAGTCTCGTGGTCTCGTCGTTTTAAAAACTAAAACAAAACTAGTTATCGTTTCTCATTCACCGATTTCAGTTGCTCTTTCTAACTTCTGGTGTGTGTGATAACAATTTCGAAATAAGGAAGAACTACGTGATTTGATTTGATTTGGATTTGGATTTGGACTTGGTCTTGGAAAACCAATACAATACAACTCAGTGTAGGCGTTCGTTCTGATTCAATATCGGGGCTAGGCCTTAAAAATAACACACTTTTACATTTGTAGATAGACTCACAGCACCTCAGGAGTTTTTTTTTTTTTTTTTTGCATTAATGCATTTCGAAAACATACTATAGTTTAGTGTATATAATGTATATAGATTTATACGTGTGAGTGCGCTTGCTTGGTTGATTGGTTGGTTGGTTGGTTGGCTTATAACTAGGGCTAGCTGATGACGATTCCTTAAACTAAATACTAAAGAGGGGGATGAATGACTGCCTGTTGCTTTGTATAAGATTCTTTCTGGGCAGTTGCCGTTCCCCATTAGAGTGTTCACACTGGAATAGCTGACTCGCCTATCTGGCTCTCCCACATCGTTTGATTACGATCCGCGATTAGCCCAACATTATTGGCGAGGTCTTATAGGCTAGCTCTAGAGTAAGTTGTGTGTGTGTGTGTGTGTTTGTGTTTGTGTGTGTGCCCAAATGCGATATGCTTAGACATTTGATATGCGCTCGTTGGAGGTGGTTTGGTCATGATGATGGCGGCCCTCGCTCCTGGAATTGTAGACCGGGGCGGCATACTGATGGTGACTGATGGTGTCCAGGTGGTAGACCGCCGCTGGATACTGATAGCCTCAGCTGGGCTGCAGCATGTACATGTACTGTCAGTTGCTGGCCGCCGCCGATGCAGCCACGGGAACGGGAACAGCAACGGGAACGGGAACAGCAACGGGAACGGGCACAGGAACAGGTAGATCCTGGCCAGAACGAGCCCGCTTTTCGCCGCCACTTCCCTCTGGTGGATTATCGCTCTCCTCGCCTGTGCTGCTGAAACTGCCCGGCAATCGTCGCTTGAGACTGTGATTCAGGCCATTGCCCACCGTTTCGTCTTCGGACATGGAACTTGCCCTTTTCGGGGTATTCCCCGCACTGTCGTTGTCCAGCGATGCTATGGCCGAGGCTATGGCCGCACTGAAGCCATCTTCGGAAGCGCTATCCTGCGAGACGGGACCGGTGGCGTCCTGGGCCAACTGCATCATGCCGGAGGGCGTGGTGTAGCCACTCAGCTTGTTGGGATCCTTCTCCAGCAGTTTCTGGGCCAGCAACTTGAGGGAAATCAAGGAATTCTCGCAGTCACTGGTGTCGATCTCAGTGAGACTTATCCCAGCCCGCTCGATTTCGGCGTACGTTCCAAATGGCAGCTTCTGCAGGCACTCGAGCTTCTGAACGTGCGTCTTGGACCGCAGATGCTTGGCCAAATGGCCGTGGATGCGGAAGGCAATCTTGCAGTCGGTGCACTCGAAGGGTCGCGGATTGGAGGTGGTCGGAACGCCAAACGTGGACGTCATCATCACCTTGTTCTTGTGTGCCTCGGATCGTTCGTGCTTCTGCAGATGACCCTGTGTCCGGAAGGAGATGCTGCACGGTTCGCACTTGAACTTGCGCTCCATGTAATGGATGTTCATGTGCAGGGTTAGCTGATGCTGCCGCTGGAAGGTCTTGGCGCAGATGGTGCACGTGGGTCGCGCATCGCTGGCAATGGGCGCTGGCGGCACTCCCCGGCCGTAGGACACATGCTGGAGATCACTGCTCTTGCTGCTGGGTGTGGAGTTCTTAAAGCCATCTTCGCCCACAATCACAGTGCGCTGCGTGGGCTGCGTTGAGTTGGCGGAGGCGGAGGCGGTTGAAGTGGTTGCCACAGCGGAAGCCGTTGAGGTAGTCACTGTGGCAGGCACACTTACAGCCACAGCTGATGGCGGTGGATTTCCCAGCACTCCGCTGAAATCATTGGCATCCGGTTGCTGCACTGCAGCGGGCAAATTGGCATTATGCGGCTCCACAATGTTGGGCTTCTCCTGATCCGATTGTCCCTCGTTCTCCTCGCTTTCCTCTTGGTTAAGCTTTACAGGATTTGGAGTTGATGTAGCTGGCGGGATGACAGGAGCTATCGTTGGCAGCTCTGTGGCTTCCGGAGTCTTAACTTCGTGCACTTCAATGCTGGGCACCTCGTTTATGCTCATGACGGGTCTGTTGCTGCTGCTGCCGCTGCCGCTGCCACTGCTGCTGCTGCTGGTAAATAGATTGCTGCTACTGCTGATTACGGGCGAGGCAGTGGAGTACAAAGTATTCATCAGATAGCTGCGACTGAACTGGCTCTGCTTGATCTTGGCCTGGTGCAGAGCATGCTCCTTGATGTAGGTCTGCAGCTGGACATCCTCACCCTCGGCCTCGTGCTTGGCCTGCTCCTCCATTTCGGCGGAGATGCGCACCTTGTCCGACACCGAGATCAGGGTCTTCATGAAGCCGCTCGCGTTGCCAGAGCTGCCAAAGATCACGTCGTGCATCTGCTGAGCCTGCGATTTGGGCAGTTCCTGGACGGCAGTTCCTGGCTGATGAACTGGCGATGGCGAGATGGCGGCCATCGGTCCACGCGGCTTGGTGAGAGTGAGATCCATGGGGGCACTCTCCTCGCTGGCCACGCTGCGCTTGGGCTTGGACTCCTCCGGATTGGAGTAATACTGTTCCTGCTTCTGGTAGTCAAACGGTGGCTTGGGTGACGTAAAGGAGCACACCAATCGCTTGGGCAGTGAACCCGAGGAGCCAATGCTGTTGGCCGGACTGGCCGCCGGTAGAGGGGTGTCCTGCAGCTGCGGATAGGGCGACACACTCTGCGGAATGGGCGGCGTCATCGATAGCGACAGCAGACCCCTGGCTGCCTCGTGCTCTTTCAAGCGCGACTTGGATTCATCTGTATCTGTTTTAGATGTTTTAAATTCATAAGTAAGCTACTCCATGGATAAGTATATAACATCTGCTTACCACTACTTTCCGATTCATTGTCGCTGTAGTCATCGGAATCGGATTCGCCGGCCATTGAGGAAGTGCGTCCGCCGGCCGAAGTGGATGACTGCTGGTCAAAGTCCATGTCCACGTCCAGGAACTCGCTATCTGGGGGCATTGGTCCCGGATTGATGCCCAGTTCAATGCACTTCTTGAAGTGGGTCTTCGATTGCATGTGCTTGGTCAGATTGCCCTTGGTCTTGAAACTGTGAGAGATCAACAGCAGATGTTAAGTTGTACTGCAAACTTGAGTCGAAATGACTATATTACTAACCTGAAGTTGCAGTGGCTGCAGGTAAACGGCCTCACATCCGTGTGCGTGCGTATATGCTTCTTCAGCATGGATGGCTTCTTGCAGCGAATGCCGCACTCGGAGCAAACATACCGACCTCTTCCTCTGCCGCGTATGTACGTGTAGTCCTCGTGCGACTCATAGCCACCCACCAGCGGCTGTCCCGACGGACTCGTCTCCAGCTTCTTGGCCTGCGCCTCCTCGTTCGCCTTGGCCGCCACATTCGCCTCGCTGAGGGCGGCCACTGTGACCGTGGGCGGCGTCTTCACGGGTCCCCGATAGAAGGCACTGCCACTGGTCGTCGTCGATGTGGAGCACACTGTCTGCTGTGAGGCCACCAGATTGTAGCTTAGTTTTCCCAAACCAGCCATTGCGGTGGAGCTACCATTTCCAAGCATCCGTTGACGTGAGTCATAGAGGGCCATCACCTGCTTCAGTTTGAATCCGAGCGGATGTGGCTGATTCTCCTCGCACACCTGCCACACACTGTACATCGACAGTTTGTGCATGCCGGCCACATACGATGGTTGCGGACAGTTCACCGTACAGTAGAACATCTTGGTGCTGCACTTGAGACCCAAATAGGTGTACGCATGTCCATTGAGATAGAGTTGCACACAGGATTTCGAGGGCCTGGGAGTTTCCGGCGAGATCAGTGGTAGTGTGTTGGCCGTGGGTGTTATGCCATGATGGCGTTTGGGTGTAAAGGTTCCCGGTTTCAGTGGCAAACTAGTGGGTCGCAGGAACTTGGACTTGGCCGATCCCGACGAGGAACTGGCCACCTCCTCGGTGGCACTGCCATTGGGAGTCTCCACATGGAGCGGTTGCAAGGGCACCTCCTGCTGTTTGCCAGCCACAACGCTGTCCAGATTGAAGTGACGCACTTCGGCTTCCGCCGTCTTCACATTGTCGGCCATGCGTAGAAAGTTGAATGGAGCCTTCTTCGCCGTCTCCTTGCTGTTCCATTGCAGCGCCTGTCGCTGGGCAGGCGTTGGTGGCTGCCGGCTGAACTCGCTGGGCAGATTCTGAACCCCACCAAATGGCGACAGGGCCTTCAGTTCGCCCACTCCAGCTGCAGCTCCGCCCAGCAAAAGTGGACTGGGTTGCTTGCGATTCGGACTACGTCCTCGACTCGCCGGCATGGGCAACTGCAATTGCTGTGGCGGCGGCGGCAACAGTGGCATTTGTGGCGTCAAACTTCCTGGCCCCGGCATTCCAGGCACATGAGGTATTGGCGTGACGGGCGTGGCATTTTTATCACCGCCACCGCTCATGGGTGGCAAGGTCAGCGGATTGAAGGCAGTTATCGAGTTGATGGGCGGAAACTGAAAGTGCTGGGGGCCAGTGCTTACGCCGAGCAGTCCACTGCCACTGACCAGTGCCATCAGCTTGCGTTCCTTGCTCGAAGGTCCTGCCTCGCTGTTGTTGTTGTTGTTGTTGGCCTTCACGGAGACATCCTGGAAGCTGCCGCCGGACAGCAACGGCGTTCGTATCATCTTGGGACTGTTGTCCATGTCCGGGCACTCCGAAATGGGTATCATGCTGCCGCCCGACGAAGTGAACCGGCGAAGGCGCTCCTCCTTGCTGGACTGCAACTCGGACACACCATTGTTGTTGAAGGAGAAATTGAAGTTTGACGTGACGGAGGCGGAGGCGGCTACAACCTGATCGCTGGTCTTCACACGCTTTGCCGGCTGAGCCTCAATGTCGCGCAAGGCAAACTGTCGATCCTCGTGCATTTTGGTTATGACCACCGCATCCTGCGGCTTGCGCGGTGCACTCTGTCGCGAATAATCGACCAGGGGAGTTTTGCCCAGCAGAGGACCTGGCGACGGCAGTGGTGCATCCACAAAGCGCAGTGCTTCAATCTGAGGAGCAGGAGCAGTAGCAGTAGCAGGAGCATTAGCCGATGCAGTTGCTGAAACAGTTGCCGAGGGAACTGTTACCGTAGATGTCCTTGCCGGCGTTTGTGCTGCACTGAGACGACTCAATACCAGAGTGCTCCTCTTGGTCTTCAACTGCGACCACGCCAGCTTGGCCAGTGACAGTGGATTCTTCGAGTTGGCCATGTGACTCTTCAGCTCCGGCAGACTGAGCGAGATCGAATTGGAGCGGAAGGGCGACGAAGCGGGACTCATGGGCGCACTGGAGCTGGCATCCTGGCAGTAGGTGCTGTTGTGCAGCTTCAGTTCGTCCGCACTGCGGAACTCGTTGGCACAGATGGGGCACGAGTAGACGGCATCATCGCCCTCGCCAATTGGCACCGCCAATCCTCGAGCATTAAGCAGTAGATTCTTGATGATCGAGTTGTTCACCTGGGCCGGAGGTGCGGCAGTTTTGGCGCTGCTCGATGGATTCACTGAGGTCGCCGGTGTCGATGCCACAGAGCTGATGGGCAGAGAACTCACAGGCACTGTGACCAAAGTGGGTTTCGGCTTCGCTGACAGGTTCAATGGCATCACATGAACTGCGGCCGCGGGTTGCTCCACTTTAGGCACTGGCGTAGCGGGATCCTGGCGGTATTGCATCGTTTGCATGGGCAGCGGAGAGGGCGGGGGCGGCAGTTGTTGCTGCTGTTTCACAGGCGTTGTTGCTACTGTTGCTGGCTTATAAGTGTTCCTTTTAGCCAGGCCATTTGGTGGTTCCAGTTGCTGTTGTTGCTGCTGCTGCTGCTGCTGCTGCTGACTCTCCTGCTGCTGTTGCATGTACGTATAGTAGTTCTGCTGCTCGAGTTGTTGCTGCTGCATTAACTGCTGCTGTTGCTGCTGGAGTTGCTGTTGTTGCTGCTGTTGTTGCTGCTGCTTCTGGACTATAGCCTGTGCCAAATTCACTTTAGTCTCGCGCTCTGGCATCTGTGCATTGGTAGTATGACTGTTGTTTGCATGCATTGCCGCCGTGTTGCTGCTGCCGTGTTGCGTTGCACTGTTGCTGTTGGCATTGTTGAAGCTGCGGGAACGACTGAGCTGCTTGGGGTATTTCTTTTGCAGCAGTATCTCCTTGTTCTCCACAATGGCTTCATTCTGAGAGATCAACTTGGATATGTGCTCCTGCACTTTGGCCACATTCTGAAAGGATTGAATCCAAAGTTAGAAATCAAATGAGGAAAGTAGCTAGCCAAAACACTCACCACTTGCATGCCGCCACTGGAGCTGGCAAAACTGCTGAGATTTGCATTGGGTGTGGGAGTGGCAGGTGCTGCACTTGCTACACTGGAAACCTGGCTGTTGGCTCGCACCAGCTGTGAATAATAATAATAAAAAATAAATAAATTACTTTAAATATTTCCTATAAAAAAATGAAACCTCTTTGACCAACCTGTTGAGGCGGCAGATTTGTAGGCTGTTGCATGGAAGGTGGCGCCTTCACCAAAGGTGAGTGTTGCTGCTGCTGCTGATGTTGCTGCTGCTGTTGCTGCTGCTGCTGCGCCAGGTGGATTTGTTGCAGATGAAATTGCTGAATAACCAAGGCTTGCTGGTGAATGGCCGCAGCGGCAGCATCTTGGTTGTAATAAGGCGGCTGCCCTCCCAGGTAATAAACCGATCCGGGTGGCACTGGCATGGCGGCCAGCAGCGATTGCTGCGCAAGCAGGGATTGCTGCTGCTGCATCTGCAACTGGATCTGATGCGAGTTGATGTGGTGCTTCATCTTCATCTGCGTGCTGGGCGAAAGTGTGGGATGCGCCAGCGATGGCTGTTGCACCAATGGCAGTTGAATGGATAGCTTCTGCTGGACCATTTGATGCTGCTGCTGTTGCTGTTGCTGCTGTTGCTGTTGCTGCTGTTGAAGCTGCAACTGTTGCTGTTGCTGAAGCTGAAGCTGCTGCTGCTGCTCCTTGCTGCTACCCGGTGCATAGAGCGAGGCATTGTGGAACTTGGGCTTGTATGGCTTGTAGTCAATCGACGGGCGATGCTGGGCAGTGGCCGAGTGCAGATTATCCGCGGTGGTGGGTGGCAAAGTACCGGCAGCCGGTGAGCCCAGCGGCAATTGTTGCAAGTGCTGCGGCAGCGGCGGCTGTTGCAAGTAGGCACTCTTGGCCGCCGACAGCGTGGATGGTGAGGGTGTGGGCGAACTCATGGGCTCATCGTAAGGCGAACCAGCGCGACTTGGCTGCAAGTAAATCAAGGTATTAGCTACAGTTCTATCATACAGTTTGCTAGGGTTATCCCACTACATCAACTTACCAACTCCGAACTACTGTTGCTCAGTTCGGCGTCCTGATCGGATAGTCCATCATCTGCATCCGCTGGCACCTCCAAACCCCGAACTCGGGCTACATGCGATCTGGAGCGGCGATGTTTGTACAAATTGCTCTTTGTCTTGAACGCAATGCCGCAGGTGTCGCATGGATAGGGTCGCTCGTTGGTGTGCGCACGTATGTGCTTCTCCAGCACCGAGGGCTTGGCACACAGCAGATTGCAGTATGGGCAGACATAGCGTCCGGACTTTTCGCCTGCAGGATTCGCTACTGCTGCCACTCCTGGACTCCCCGTTGTTGTTGGCTGTGTCATTTGCTGATGCTGGGCAAATGTTGCCGGTGACAGTGTTGCATTTGCTGCATAGTTGCTAATGCTGTTGCTGTTGCTGTTGCTGGTCGTGTTGCCGTTGCTATTGCTATTACTGAGTGGCGTTCGCGTTCTGGCCGCTGCCTTGTAGCCACTATTGCTGATGATGCTCTCCTCATGACCAATGGCATTGACATGATTGCTATTTACAAAATTGGCACTGAATTCATGTGTTGCTGTTGCATTTGCTATTGCTGGCAGCGGTTGCGGCTGATGTTGCTGCTGCTGCTGCTGCTGCTGCTGCTGCTGCTGCACTTGCTGTTGCTGGGTCATCAGATGGTGGTGACCATTGGCCAGCGGCATCATCATCGGCGGCGGTGGTGGTGATAGCGAACTGTTCGAGGACAGCGATGTGGTGCGGATGGCATCATGTGCACCACAGCTACCGTTCGTTGTCGAGTGGCTGCTCTCCACTTCGGTGGTGCTGGCCAAACGTTTGAACTTCTTGTGCAGATAGCGTGAAATATTTGACCAATCCCCCAGCGGAGCCTCATCGGTGGCGTTGGCGGTGGCGTTGGCGGTGGCGGGTGTGGGTGTGGCATTTACGCTGGCTTGGCTGCTAATGTTGCTCATCGTATTAACCACATTGGCTGGAGCCACTGGCTCCTGGTTGCTGCTGACTGCTGCCATCTGTTGTAGCGTCATTTTGCTATCACTTAGACTTGCTTTATCTCTACACTTAAATTCATAATTATTCTCACTAATACTATTATCACTGTGGTGGTTGTTGTTGTTGTTGTTGTTGTTATTTGTTTTATTATTATTATTGTTGTTGTTATTGTTGTTGTTGTTGTTGCTGACGATGTGGTTGCTGTTGTCAGCAGTCGACAACTCGCTTAGTTTATCTCGTGTACTTGTACTGGGTTTGCTGTTGCTGTTGGTGTTGCTATTGCTATTGCCACCAGCAACATCTGTGGTTGCTGCTACTGCTGCTGCTGCTGCTTTGGAGGTTGTTAATGTTGCAACTGCTGGTGTTGCTGTTGCTGATGTTGCTTCTGTTGCATCGGCTGCTGCTGCTGCTGCTGTTGCTGCTGCTGCTCTGTTAGCTTTGTTTGTTGCTCGCTGAGTGACTGTGGTTGCAGTTGCAGTTTCCCGATATGTCTGCTTCTTGGTTGTTGATGTTGTTGCTGCTGTTGTGGTTGCTGCTGTTGCTGTTGCTGCTGCTGCCGCCGCTGCTGCTGCTGCTGCTGTGGCACGTCGCGTATTGTTCACTTTATTGGTCTTGTACTGTTTGCCTGCGGTTTTGTAATGCTTGGCCGTTGTGGTTGTTGCATTTTCCATATTATTATCGAATTTATTACCCTGTGACGTATTTGCAGCGGGCTCATCTATAGCGAAAAAGAGAGAAAATAAATCCAAATTAATTCAATGTATACCGCATAATTTAATTTAAGTGCCAATGCTAATTGATACATCCATGATAATCCCATTTATATATTGGTTTCCCTGCTCAATGCACGGTTTAATATTTTAAACGATTAACTGGTAATTGGTAACATTGCGAATGACCGACAAAAGTCACCTGTTTTGCTTCTGACCAAGAACTTGTCTGTGTTTCCAATCCAATGAAATATTTACTTTCAGCTTATACACGCTTTGTATTAACTTTCAACTATTAGACCCTCCGGCTAGAAATACTTTTGAATAATTGAAGTGCACTTGCTGTTTGCGTTTGGGTTTCCCAAGACTTGATTCGCTTTCTGGCCCCTTAGTAATCTTTTTTTTATTTCCAGCCACACTATCAGCACTAATTGGGGCTTAATCTTATCGCCGGGTAGCTGCGAATTCCACATACTGAGCACGCTAATTCGAGGCGATCAATCCACCAAGTGAATCACAAATTGGCAAATTCCAGTGCACTATTGAAAATCAATTTCCCAGCCTGCGAACGTGTCAACATCGATAAAGAGCACAGTGGCAGAAATACACATATGTATTTGTACGGATGTATAATTTTGCCGTGTTTCTTTTTCTTTTTTATCAACTTTCTATTTTGAATTCCCAATTTAGCCAGGGTTCACTTCAGGCCCCACCTGCTTGCAAAGCCAGGCAGGCGACCAAAAAGCACGAAAATCCAAGAAATGTGACAAGTGAAGTCTAATGACTGGTGTCACTGGCGTGTCGTTTGTTGTTGGGGGCTCCCTTATCACAGCTCATGCACACATGTGTGACAACAGTACGTATCAGTACTGTAAAGCTGCTAACTGGAGATTACAAGTGGGATTATAAATAATGTTGCCAAATATTAAGAGAAAACTTCATAACAGAACATTTAGTACTACGTTTTTTGATCAAATATTTTAAAATATATAATTTTTATTTCATCTAATAAAAGGAAATGACTTATTAACATTTATCTATTTTATCAGAAACATAAGAAAATAAGAGTAATACCATATATTTTTTCCAGAAACATGTAACTTTTAATTTTAAATAGAAAAATCCAAACGGACCCATGAATCTTAAACGTTCTTCACAAACGTTTGATAAGAGTTTATAAGAGTTTGATAAGAGTTTATTATTGTTGGTGCACTCTTAACTGCTGCTATTATTGTGAGCCCCACTGTCCGTCCGCATACACGTATTATATGACTCGCTCGTCGGGCGATTAGTAAGCTGGGGCAGTTCTCAAATCACAATCGCACACAGACCGACGAGCAACGACCGTCGACCGACGACCGACAGACTGAACAAAACTCACTGGCAACCGAGTTGGGTCGCGTTAATTGACTCGACTGCGACTGTTTAGCATTCAGCGTTATTATTATACACATTATACGGCATTATGCGATCGCAGCGACGACTCTCGTCGCTTCCCAATGTTTACTCAGTTCGTTATCAGCACGGCTATAAGGCTTTCAAGCCGTGCGACCGCAAAAAAAGAATTGCCTAAAAGTTCCATTGATAATGCCAAGCTCTATATACTATGTGTGTGAGTGTGTGTGTGTGAGTGTGTGTATATGACCGGTAGGTATTTTTGGGAATGTGTGTTTACCAGATACATTATCAGTTATCAGTGGGGTCTATCGTACGCCTGAGTCAGAAACAAAGCCCCCGATAAGCGATCCCCGTTGTAACCCAAGTGATTGGCAATTTGCTAGACTGCAGACGCGTTGACGTCAGTTATCCGATATTTATTTCAATACATGGCTGTCAGATTGTCAACTTGTTGGGCAATTAAGTGACATTCGCTGGTGATTAGCTGCTCGGGGATCCAAATCCTAATTACATAATCACGAGTAGGAAATATAGTACACATGTGTATGTACTCAACTTATTAATAAACGAGTGAGTAGGTCAATTACAAGGCGCCAACTGCGCCACAATTGAAATATGTTTAGCGATTATAAGGAATGTGAGTGCTGTTTGCTGCTAATAAAAACAAAAGCGGAAAAACGAAAATAAACAATTCGGGCAAAGTCCAATAAACTAAACCTACGCAGTCAAAACAAAGGTTAAGCTAGAGATTTGAAGACAAAGTTCTGTGAATTGAAATGCTTTCAAAAACAACAAAGTCAAAACTATCGAAGTTTAACTGTATTTAATCACCAAGTAAACTGAACTATAAAGCATAGACTTACGAAACGTAAGCCACCAAGAGTCACAACAATATAATAAAGTCAAGCGGGAATAAAGCAGATAACCTAATCACAAGGAGGCGCTTATAAAAACCCCAGCAATAAAAACCAGAATACTCATATTCCAGATACAAAAAGTACATAAAGCGCAAAGTGCAGTGTGACGTTTAAAGATTCTGACTTTACACCATCATTGTTGGCCACGTAAATCGATTTGCCACAGCTATCAAGTAAATATTAATATGACATTTTCGTTATCACGAATTTTTGTTTAACGATCTTGGGGATCTAATTACGCCTGCTTGCCAGCATTTTGAGGCGTGAAAACGGCAAGTAAACGTGAAACACATGGGAACGTTTTTATACATATATACAAACTGGAACTGCATTTGCATTGGCATTTTCATTTGCATGCACTTTTTTATTGAGCCACGAGAAAAACAATTGCCCTGTACAAAGTGCAATAAATATAGCGCTATGGCAAATAATCAGACACTAGAACAATACACTAGAACAAAGTATTTGCCTAAATATTTTGTTATATATTATTATACTTTTAATTAAAAAAAATTATTTATTTTAAATGTATGTTTAGATTTTTGGTTTATATATAGAGAAAGCCGAAAATTTAAAAAATCTGAGATTTTAATATTGATATTTATTTTGTTGTGTAGAAAGACCTGCTTGTCAGTTGATAAATTGACGCAAATATTGGGCACACGCTATCGCCTACGTCACAAATGCATTTGGCGATTAAAGAAAATAATAAAATAAAACAAGAATACAAATATAAAAACACTGACACTAGCACAGCGAAATAATGCAAAATATAAAAAATACAACGAGGTGCGGCAACGGCGCCACAAAGTCCACACATCTGTATGACGGTCAGTCTGTCACTCTGCCATTCGGTCATTCCCTCAGTCGTCCATTCCCTCATTGCGCCACGATGATGACGACGACGTCATCGCAGTGCAATAAGCACTGAGCACTCGCCCACTTAGCAATTGTTTATAATTTATTAGCGAGCAGCGTTTTACAGCGATGGCGAAAAAAAAAACATAGTACGTCAAGTTAGCGGAAAAGATTCCGAAATTCCAGCGAACAACGAAACGCCCGATAAAAAGCGTTGAAAACAGTCAAACGGTAAAGAGAAACATACCCAAGCTTAATTGTGACCACACGCATCATTTCTCAGTCTGTCCCGCTTATTTGCATGGTAGTTGGTGTTTTTGTTGCTTATGGGCGAAACGCAAAAATTGAAAATGCACGGCGAGAAAAAAGGATCGCGGCGCGCGAAAATCCGAGAAATCGAAAGAGGCGACAACCGACCGACGCGCTGAAACTTTTAAAATGATTTAAGGCAACTAGACGAGGCGACCAGCGAAATTCATTCAGAGTGTGTTGTGTTTCAGACGGCTTTTTGTTGTGTGTGTGCGAAAAGAAAACGAAGAAGCGACCGAACAGGGCAAAAACAACTAGTAAGAAGTCTAAAGTCGACCTGCTCGACTACGGTATACCCGGTAAAAAATGTAGGATCTCACAAAAATATGATCCAGTTATTCATCTGAAACCATCATTTGGGCCATCTATATCTTAAATATATATCCGATTGGGAAAAAAAATGTATTTAAAAGACATAAAAAGTAGCTGTAGTTGGTTAAGAAGAGAATCGATTGACCTTTGTTGACTTTAAAGCAGATTTTTACCAAAATCGAGATATTTTATTTATCCTGAGTACCTACGACTATTTACATATTCCCTGTTTATGATATATAGGAAGAATGGTAAAAAACTTTACTTTCCAGGTGTTCGGTATACCCCTGATTTGATTGGGTTATTGGGTATTAAAAATACGCGACGTCAGCGCAGGCATCAGAAAAAAGTACAATAATCAAATAATTGCGGCTACCTCGTCGTCACCCCCCACACACAAACACACACACACACATAATTTCTCCACTCACACGCATTTGCAATTGTCAATCAAAAGTAAGCACAGGGTCTCTGCTTCTTCTTATTTAGCTTTTGATTTTGCGGCAGCCACTGAGAAATGATCAAATCAAGCAAAAATTAAGAAGAAAAAAAAAATTTTGAAAACAAAACCAACAACAGGTGACGCGAAGTACGAAGCGAAATGAAACGAAACGAATCGGAATAAAATGAAATGAAAGACTGTCGCCAGCCAGTCAGACGTTGTTGTTTTTTGTTGTTTTGTTCCCCTATTGTTGATTACGTACGCCACACACACTTACACACACATGCACGTAAAACACGCGTACACACACAGACAAACAGTCAACCACATTCCCCCGCACAAATATGCGAAATTTTGCTGACTAAGGAAGGTCTGGGGAGCACCAGGCAGAAAAAAGCAAAAAGCTGAAAAAAAAGCAAAAGCACACCGCGATAACAACAAAAGCATTTTAAAGCGTAGAAGCACAAAACGAACCAACGGAAAAAGTGATAATAAAATAATAATTGCTACAGCGCAGACCGATCGCGAGAGAGAGAGAGAGAGAGAGAGGCCAGGCCAGAGTTGCCATAATAGCTGAGAGAAACCCCCATCGCCAGCCCCATCCCCCCTCCCACTCAATCAGATCAGCACGATTTGCCTTTAATGTTACCAATTCAGATATTTTATAGCCGTAAATTCGTACAAATAAAAATAAAGTTTATCAACATTTCTATTAATCGAACCTAACTGACTGGAAGTGGCGCTAAGCGAGAATATTTCGTCCAAAAAATTT